CCAGCCGTAGCACCTTCCTGTCGTGATAAGTAGCCGCGGCCTCCCAGGCCTCCCTCTCCTCATCTCCCTCTTTCCATCTTCCGTTCATTCCTCTCTGCGTCCACTGAAAATCTATACTCGTCCCAGCGTAACCTTTCCAAATCACTCCGCCAGTAGCCAGAGAACAGAAAATAGTCCCGCACGTAATAGGATTTTTAAAAACTAATAATCAATTCTAGACCGTTGCGATCGTAATAAATCGTATAAGTAAACAATGTTGAAAAAATACGAACAATCTTAGACTTAATCACTAAGCATTCCGGGTTCTGCATTTCCGCGGGCAGACGACGCGCCGGTCCGAGCCCCTCAAAACACCGGTCTCTCGGACCCTCTTTTTGCACTAAGATTGAGTGACTGAAAGAGATATCATAATGACAGCTTGCATTACTCTAAACCTAAGACGTTTTTGTATGCCCAGCTGGCCCTTGTCTTTCGAAATTGTGCCTTATCATTCAGAAATTTTGATTTGAGTGCATAAGGCTGGCTTCTCCTCTAGACCGAGCTCCCAACTTTTTAGATTATCTTTGAGTAACTGAAAGAGATTCAGTAATACCAGCCTGTATCAGTGTAAGCCCTACACATTTTTGTCTGCCGGAATCACCTTTATTTTGCTATATTTTGCCTTCTTTTTTAGATATCCGGAATTGTGTGTGCGAGGACGGCTTCTCCTCCCGACCGAGCTCATGACTTTTTAGATTATCTTTGAGCAACTGAAAGAGATTCAATAATAATTGCTTATATCAATGAAAGCCCCGCACATTTTTGTCTGCCGGAATCGTCTTTATTTCAAGAATCAAAACTTATTTCCTGAGGAATGTGAAATAAACTGCGCCAATTTGGGGAAAAGACGGGCGAGGGACTACTTTCGGAAAGGTTACGCTGGGACGAGTATACCGGCGTGACTTCGTGCCGCTGCAGGGGCGTGAATAAAGTGTCAGGCCATTAAACGGCATGACACAAAAGTCACGCCAAAAATCGGCGTGACTCAAAAATTCACGCCAATTTTTGGCGTGAATTTCTTGTCATGCCGCTTTTTGGCGTGACTTGCCTCAGAAAACGCGTTGTCAATCACGCCAAATGAGGGCGTGACTCACCTGTCACGCCGTTTTTCGGCGTGAATTTCGTGTCACGCCAATTTTTGGCGTGACTTTTTGTCACGCCATAATTTGGCCATGTGTCCGACCATTACGTTTTCAGTGTCTCCTTTTTGCCCCCGCCTGCCTCCTCTCTCGCACACAGGCGCACCGAGCCACACAGACAGAGTTTCATTCCGTTTCGCTGGCCGCCCCCTGCCGCGGCTGCACTGCGAACTGCGAACACTCAGGTATACAATGTGTGTGACCTGCACTGGTCCTGCACTGCGGGCGTCATTGTGTGCCCGAGGTGCCTCTACCTGCCGCCGCGCCGCACCGCGCCCTGCATTGTCGTGGCGGCATACACGTTAGGGATCACCTTGTTGGGCGCGGCGTGGCGCGGCGTGGCGCGGCGCGGCGGGGGCCGTCGGTCAATGCGGTGGAGGGAAAGCACGCCGCGCTCCTGGCCGCCAGCAGAGGTCAGCGAGCGTGGCGGAGTGCTTCGGGTGCTGCGTCCACCCTGCGGCCACCTGCGCCTCGCGTCATCCCCCGCACGAACGCGTTGCGACACTTGCAGGCGCGCCAATTCGGCTGGCACGGAGCGCTTTTCGGCGGCGGCCGCGGGCGATACGACGACGCCGACGCACCGCGTGGTCGTGGTCCACATCCTGTAGCGCGGCCGTCCTGGCCGTCCTGGCCGCGCGGGGGAGCGACAGCCAGCGACAGCGCGACGGGCCGCTAGCTAGCCGGCTAGTGTTCTTTATTATTGTTTCCATCCGGTCTTTCAAACTGCGTCCGTTCAGCCGGGATGCCGTTTGTCGCGTTTATTCGCCCCCAGGGGCGCAGTGCGCGCAGTGCGCGGCACCGCCATGCCGGGACGCTCTAGGGTAATGAGGTCGCCGCGCCGCCGCCATCTCGCGACTGCCGCGCTGCCTACCCTGCACACTGATTCCGAGAGTCTTTTTCGTCGCTGTCCTTCTCGCACTCGTCCCCGAGCAGGCAAGCGCTTGGAGGAGGGCGCTATCCGACGCGTGCATGGATGCGCCCCTTTCAATGCCAATGTCAGGATGCCTATATCTCGTTGAGGCGTCCGTCCCGCACCGTAGCGCGGCCCCCAAGTGGCAGGCCACTGCTGCCACTGCCACTGGCCAGCCGATAAGCCTGGGATTCCTTGACCTCGGCCGCGGCGCCGTACCGCGAGCAGTGCGGGCGACGTGCGAGCGGTTTCATCGGCTAGGGCTGCTTCGGGCTTGCCTTGCCTGCCTAGCCGCCCTCAGTAGCGCATCCAGACGGTCTTGTTGCCGGGCCAAAGCCATCCTCGCCGCGCCCCCGTAGTGTCCCAAGGAGCCTGCCCCAATCTTGAAATAAATCCAAATGCAGTGCCAATGCGGGATTGCGCGGGGAGCCCCGCGACAGCCGCGACCGCTGGCTAGAGGCACGGGTTCGCCCCCACCCCACCCCCACCCCTTTCCTGCGCTGGCGCCTGTCTCATCGGTCGCCACTACACTGGCCTGGTTGTCACAGGGGTGGACGGCGCGAAAAATGGGAGCCGAGATTGGCCTTGAATAGGAGAGTCCGCTTTCAGTTCAGCCCACGACGTGCAGTCCGAGCTGCGCGGGGCGACGCATGGGCGGCGGCTCGCCGATTTCACCTGTCGATCTGCATTCGCTCTTAGCATTCGCACCTCTCACCCAGGGCGACATAACCTCGCTTTCCACCCCGGCCGCCTCGACGAAAAAGTGGTGGTGGGGGGAGGGTGGGCCCCGCCCCGCCCTGCCCCGCCCCGAGCGGAATTGCACATGCGTACTCGAGGCGTTTCCTCTCACTGCTGTGTTTTCGTTGAGTGCTGGTGATATGAAGCGAGTGACATGAAACTTGCCGAAAACTGGTAATAATTTGTGAGCGGGGCGTGGTGCCGTGGTCCGATTCATTCTGCGCGCGGAAAGGGGCGACCGTTCCGCCCAGCCTTGCCGCGTTTCCGCGGAACTGCGAGACAGCGCCCTTTTCTCGTGTGTGCGTGTGTGGGTGCGATTGCGGTGGTGTGCAAGTTTCGTTGCCTTTCGTCTGCTTGCCCTCTGGGGACGGACCACTAGCCTGGATTTTTCATATGGCTTTCTCGTGGCTCCCGCTCTGTGGCGCAAACGACGATCGATCAAAAATGGGACGAACTGCGCACTTGCAATGCACACATTGCTGACAAGGCTCGCCCGGTTCGGCGTTTCTGTTGGGAGTAAGGTGTTTTCGTCGTGCTCCGCGCGGGGCAGCGCGGGGAGGGGGCGGGGGGTGGAAGACAAGGGCGCCTCGTATACTCCGTGTACTCGATGTGCACCTAAAGCGCCATACGCCCCAAATTTGGTGCGCTCGTTCGTTTTTCCCTTGCTAATGCCACTGCGCTGCGCGTTGCTACGCGGTGTGGTGCGGCCAGCAGGCAAGGCGCAGCAAGGCGCCACGGAGGGTTTCTGTGGACGACTGCCGTTGCCGTGCCGTGTGCCGTGTGGCCGCCATTGTGGCGCGGAGTCGCGCCGCTGTGAGCGCAGCGTGGCTCGCGGCGGAGCTGGCGGGGCATCGTCTGGTTCGGGGGAACAGCCGAGCGGCCTAGTAGCGATAGGACGATGTCCTAACTCCGAAGCAAAACTCAATTTTCTGCCGTGGTTTCCTCGTTTGGCCCTATAAGCTGGTGTGTGCACATGATCGGTAATTATTTTTGAACGTGCAGTTCGAATTTATGGTGCAACGGGTCGAAATGGGCGTAAAGTCGCGGTGTAGGCTTACTACGTGCCTGGCCCCTGCTTGGCCTGCGTATAAGGATGATGTTGCCTTTGCCACTGCGGTGGTTAGTCGCTGCTCCAATTTTTCGACTGCGAGCGTTTAGGCTGTGATTGAGACGGGGGGCCGTGTCTGGGCCGTTGTGATTTGGACTGTCATTTCGGTGTCACGGCATTTTTGTTTTGTCGTGGATCGTGGCCGATTTTTGTGTAGTAAGTGAAACCCGATACTCCGAAATGGATACCATCTCCCACTGCAGTAGTAAGTCAGAAAATTGTGGACATTTCAAGCTCCTGCACGCCAGAGCCGTTTCTGCCTCACAGTACGGAAATGCATTTTAACAGCCGAATATCCACTTGTTACTTTTCAAAAAAGGTGCTTTTATTTGCAATTGTATATGAAATTTTCAACTTAAGTCTGTCAAGAGCCCAGGTCTCTAGGACACAGTTATTTGGGCCTAGGCTGGGTCAAATCTGCCATTGTGAATTTTCTTTAGCCAAGCCTCCTACCTTTGATAATTTTATGTTTGTCATTTCAACATGTAAGTTACAATTTTCCCATTTGAATTTGGTTCTTTTCAATGTTTTGACCTTTTTATCATCATTCAACATTGAGGTTAAGTGTGCTTTTTTTTCTCCCCTTTACCCTTTTTGTTTTTCTTGTAACTTTTGAAAAATAAATTTTTTTATCAAGTTTTTTCTTGTGTTTCCTTGTTGAGTAGATACTTCTATTTGAAAATATTTGTGTGCCCTGTTTTCATTTTGTCCTTGGTGAAGAGTCTAGTACTAGGGAGGCTACACCCAGTGCCTGAGACCTGATTATGTGGCCAACAGGATTTTAATTAAATTTACACTCTCATTCATGAGCACCTTTGAATAAGCTGATTTTGTGTTGGAAAAGAATCTGTACTTGCAGTGGTAATCAATTAAAATTGATTATTTTTTCTTGCATACATGACCTTAGTCCAATTAAATTTTCTGATGTTAAAGGGTTACTATGGTATCCATTTCTGCTATCGAATTCACTTTTTGGATAGAGTTCAGTGTGCTAGGATTGCATCCCACATGTAGATTAATCAATGGATCTGTAATATTGTTTTTTTTTTCTCCTTCTAATTTTCAGATCTCTTCCAATATGGATTACAATGTTCGCTGAAGATCCCTTAATAGTCATTATTAAGGTGAGAGCTAAAAAAACTGGTGAAAGACAGTCTTTGGGTTTTTCCCCTTTTTCTCAAACACAAATTAATGGAGGAGAATGTTAGAGTATTTCCTCTTATGTAGCACTCTTTCGTCTCCTTCGCCATCACTTCTCATAATTATTCTAAAATTAGTTCATTATATTTTGTGAACAGAAAAAGGCTCACCATTCAAATTAAGTGAAATTGCATCTAATTCTTTATTTCTTATTTCCTCTCCAGATTTTTTTTTAAATACATAGCCTGCCAAAGAAGAATTGAGCCCAATGTTCTCCAACAATTCTAGTTCTCTTGAGATTTCTTCTGTAGCAAATGGCTCCACACAAAATTTTGAAGATAATGGAGTAGAAGTGTTACATGGAGCAGGTCAGTCTGCTGAACCTGCTCTCAGCACATGTGGCAACGAACCTGTAGCCAAGGAGGGGTCCAGTGTCCCTACCAAACCTGTGCCTGACATGAGAGTGAGTACTACCCTGGCACACAAACGATCTCCCCTATCCACCCTTGGCTCAATCTTTATTGATTTTTTCTTATTTGGTTGCACAGGACACACAAAATTGCACCAATGACTGGCCAGGCGATGTGGGAAGCCAAGTGTCATCCGTGTCATCCACATCACTTGCCAGTAGCATCACCTCAACGGCAGCACAAAGTACTAATATCGAAAGTACAATGCAAGATGGTCTGTTTTCCAAAGATGCTCCTACTGTTGTGCCCTCTCTCAGTGCCTCCGAGGTAGCTACTAGCAGCAGAAGCCTAGTGAAACCATTGCACACGGGTGAGTTTCTTCAGCAAAATGATATGATGAGGAACTGATTTCAGAGAGTATTGGGGACTTAAGACTAATACAAGCTACTGATTGCAGGCTGTGATTCCTGTGGCTGTTGTAATCATCACCCTGATGACAACTGTGCCAGTTGTTTGAAGTCTGAGGCTTGCAGCAATGCTTGCAGCCACCAAATCACCACCCAATCCTCTGCAGAGGATGCCAGTGGGTGTCTCCTAGTGGAGACTGCCCACAAAATGTCTGTGATATCCAGCTCAAGTGGCGTGGTGGTGGCCACAGAGATGGAGCCTATTCCTCCGTCCCTTAGCACCAGCTCAGGTGCTCCTCAGGTATGTGTTACTGACTAGTCAAATTAACATGTACAGAAATTAGGATTGAAAGTCATTTTTGGGTGTTTGTTTTTGTATTTACAGAGCACCAAAGCAGTGTTCGCCTGTGACCTTGATTCTTCCAGCAGCAATAAGCTGCCTCTGCAGCGCTTTGAGCCTAGCAAAGCTAATGGCATGGCATTGCCCAATGAGTCAAAGCAGCATCACCAAAATAAAATCACGCCTGCTGCTGAAATAGAGATTGCAAAGTTCCCAGGCCATCTCATTCCTTCCTGGGAGGAGAAACTTACTACTGGTGCTCTTTCTGATCAGGATAATAATTACAATAAGGCTAATCATAGTAATAATAGCGTTAAGGAACATTCCCAATTGGGAGGAGGAGATGCCAAGCAGAGCAACAATGCCTGGAGTCTAACTCCATTCAACATTCCTGAGGCAGAGGGGGATGGCAATTCTCGAGTGCCTCAAGCCATTCAAGCAACGGTCCAGGGTATTAATGACAGTAGCAACCCACCTGCAAGCTTTAATAATAATGTTAATGTTAATGATTACGGTAATGTTAATGATAATGGAACTGCTCCTGTACTGGACAAGAGTACAATTTTACTGAATGACTACAGTTGTTTGAATCTGCCATCTGACAAAGACCGTGAAGCATATTCACCCTCCAAGAAAATGAATGTACCTTACAACCTGACTGAGGTCTCGAAGAAGCAAAACAAAGACTCAATGGAAAAGTTGGTGAAGAATTTCACTCAGCTGAAGAGTTGCGGTCAAATGATGGGACCTGCCAGCAACGCACGATGGGGCATTCCTCAAGGACTTGGTCTCCGTGGTGGGGGTGAAAGCTCCTTGAACAATGGAACCACTGGTTGGGGAACACCTCCAAGTGGAAACAACAACTCGAACAACAACACCAACAACAGCAATAACAATCCTGGAGCGAATTCTGCTGCTGCAGCTGGATGGGGTACTGCCAATTCCACCCCTAATGCAGGAAACAATCAAGGTGGCCAGTCCCAATGGGGTGCACCCAACAACAACAGACCCAACACTGGGAACAATCAGAATGCTGGTGCTCCTCCTATTGCTGGTCAGTTTCCCTAATCAATTTAATTTGGCATATTTATTTTTATCAGTCAGCAGCTTGTTATTAATAAATATTTTTATTATTAATAGGCCAATCACCTCCACAATCGAATCCGCCTGGCCAGCCTGCTCCAAGCCAGCCAGGCCCTCAAGGCCAGCCCAACCAGCCACCAGGGCAGCAACAGACTCCGCCTGGTCAGCCTCAGCCTCAACCAAACCCTGCTCAGCCACCACCAACATCTCAGCCTCCCCCTCAGAACGGATCCAATCCGTGGAGTCAAGGAGGGGACATGGGTGAGTTGTGGAAGATGTGCCCTAAGAACTTAAGATGCTGTTTAAGTGACTGCTTGTTTTATAATGATTTTGGTTAGCAGGTCCTAATCAGCCACCCCCGAGCGGCGGGCCTCCAAACAACAACAATGGTGGGCCTCCAAACAATGGGTCTGGAGTTCCTGGAGGGTTGCCTCCGACGAGTGGTGCTGCCACACCTGCTGCTCCATCGACAAAGCAACAGTTGGAACAGCTCAACACCATGCGCGAAGCGCTCTTCAGCCAGGATGGATGGGGTGGAGTAAGTATTCTTCTCTAGCGTTTGGTTTTCCCAGGTCTTTGGTTCTGCTTACTTATTTAACTTTTTCTGCCCATAGCAAAACGTGAACCAAGACACTGGCTGGGACATCCCTTCATCTCCAGAGCCTGCCACTAAAGATAATAATGGTAGGTTTCTTCCTGTGGCCACAAGACATTTTCTGGACTGAAAGAAACACCCCTCTCTAACTGTTTGACTGTCTCAGGAACGGACTTGTGGGAAGCCAACCTACGCAACGGCGGCCAGCCCCCTCCCCAGACTCAGCAGAAGACCCCGTGGGGACACACGCCCACCACCAACATTGGCGGCACCTGGGGCGAGGACGACGAAGTGAGCGACAGCTCCAACATGTGGACCGGAGTCCCTGCCAACCCCGGCCCCGGAGGCGTCGGCCCCGGCGGGCCCGGCCCGCAGTGGGGCGCTGGCGGCCCCGGACCGGGCGGTCCCGGAGGCCCCGGACCAGCGGGCGGCATGTGGGGAGGTGACTACATTTCCATCTCGAACCCTTTCCTTAATGTGCCCCGCCTACCTTTGCCTTGTTTTGGAGGATTCAAATGTGCGCCACGTTTGCAGGACCGAAAAAAGACGACTGGAACCGAGGCAGCTCCAACTGGGGCGAGCCCCGCGGAGACCCTCGCGGCGGTGGCGGCGGCGGCGACCCCCGGATGGGCATGGACGCGATGGGCGATCCGCGCGACCCGCGCGACATGAGAGGCGTTGGCGGCGGCGGCATGGACCCTCGCGACATGAGGGGCGTGGGACCGAACGACCCTCGCGACATGCGCGGTGTGGACATGCGCGGCGTGGACATGCGCGGCGACCCCATGAGGCCCATGGACCCCATGCGTGACCCAAGGTAAGTCTGAGACTCGGCCGCGACCGTGCTGGCGTGCGCGTGCGCGGCCTTTTCCTCATCCGCCCGTTCGGTGTCTGCAGGGACATGAGGGGCATGGCGGACATGCGCGGTGGCGACCCCATGATGCGCGGCGATCCCCGCGGCATTAGCGGCCGCCTCAACGGCGGCGTCAGCGACCCCTCGATGTGGGGGCAGCCGCCCCAGCCGCCGCACCACAACATGCCGCACCACCAGCAGTCGCAGCCCCCGCGCGTTGGGCCCGGCGGCGTCGGCTCTGGGGGCAACTTCCCTGGAGGTGAGTGAGAGCGGGTTCTGTCTCTACCGTCGAGCCGAGTCCAGGATCTGGACGGTCACACTGCAGTCGCGTCAAACTAGTGCGCGGACTATCGCAGGAGTGTGACCGTACGGAACTTTGACTCGTAGAAGGCGCTTGTGTGCTTGAGAAAATTTCGCTTAAAAGCGTTTTGAAAAAAGTAACGTTTGGTCTTCATTTATTGAAGGTGTGAATCAATGGGCTGGTCCTCCTCCCAAAGATATTGGCATGCCTGGAGGTGGCTCCAAGCCCTCAGGCTGGGAGGAACCATCTCCCCCTCCCCAACGCCGTAACCTTACCAACTATGACGACGGCACTTCCTTGTGGGGTCAGCAACAAAATCGTATGGGAGGCGAGTATTTGCTGCAACTCTTGGAAACTGTTGTTAGTCATCACCAGGGGCACTCGAGTCTAAAACACTATTTTGTTCCATTTCAGGTGGTGGTAAGGTGTCTCACTGGAAGGATATGCCTGCTCCGAACATGGGCCGCTCCATGCAAGGGTGCCCCCCAGGAATGCCTCAAAACAGAATGCCCGGAAACAACCCTGGCAACATGAAGCCAGACAATCCACTCTGGTCGCACCCTGGCCGCAATGGTTCTTGGGATGGCCCTCACGAAGGCGCTGGCGGTAACCCCTGGGTGGAAGAGCCCAAGGGAGGGCTTGGAGGAATGAACAACTGGAATGATCCACCGCTCACGCCGTCTTGGGGTGGGCCTAAGCCCAAGACTCCTATGAACCAAGGAGGCTGGGTCGACAATGACATGGACGCCTCTTGGGGTCAGCCCAAATCTGGTCCAAAGCCTGCCAAGGAGATGATTTGGGCAAGCAAGCAGTTCCGCATGCTCAGTGACATGGGCTACAAGAAGGATGATGTCGAGAATGCCTTGAGAGTCTCTAACATGAATCTGGAAAATGCTCTTGAGATGCTGAATGCAAGTGGTAGAATGAACATGGATGGGTGGCGTGCGGGTCACGAAGATCATGGTTTTGATATTGGTGGCAGCAGCCATCCAGCTGGTGGTTCTGGTTCTGCATTCTCAAATCGCTTCCAGAGCGCTCCACCAATGCATTACGCCCCTCCGGTAAGTAGGACGACTTATTTCATTTACTTGTGAGTCGAATTTAATTTGAAAATAACTCCATGTTGTTGTTTACTTGCAGGGTGGTCCGGGTCTGAACAGCCAGCCTAGTCTTATCAACATGAATAATGCCAATCCTAGTCTCACCAACATAAGTCCTGCATTGGTTCAGAAAATGTTGATGCAACAGCCGCCGCCTCAGCAGCCACCGTCACAGCAGTCTGCTCCATTCAATCAATCACAGCGCAACTCCCAAAATCAGCCCTCAGCTCAGCAACTGCAAATGCTGGTTAAACAAATACAGATGGCTGTGAGTGCAGGCTATTTGAACCAGCAAATTCTCAACCAGCCTCTCTCGCCTCAAACTCTTCTTTTGCTGAATCAGTTGCTGCAGCAAATCAAGGTATGGTTAGGTTAGGTTTCCTGTGTTGCATATATTTTTCACAAGTTCTCAATGTTTCAATTTTATGACCAATAAACTGATTTCAGGTCCTGCAAACCCTGACCCAACAGCATGCTGTGGTTTCTACTCAAAAGAATAGCCCAGCAATGCTCAACATATCCGTTCAGCTTACGAAGACTAAGCAACAAATTGCTAACCTTCAGAACCAGATTCAGGCACAGCAGGCCTTGTATGTTAAGCACATGCCTCCACAAGGACCTCCAGACTATTTCAAACCTGACCCCATGGGTGCCATGCCCAGCTTCAATGATTTGACCATTAAGGAGCCACCGGTAGGTTTAGGACTTTCTTGAGAGATTGGTATACTCCTGATAGATTCTTGTGTGACGAATTTTGTTTGGTGTGAACGATGCAGGTGATGAATGATCAGTCATTCCAAAGTCCACAATCTCGCCTGAATCAGTGGAAGCTGCCGCCTTCCTTGGACAAGGATTCTGATGGCCTGGGCAATGAATTTAGCCGTGCCCCAGGCACTACCAGCAAAGCTCCTGGTTTGTCCCAAAGTCACTCATCGCCCAACATTAACCCAATCCTCAGCCAGGGAGATGGGTAAGCATTTGCAACATTTTTCTCATGGTCGCCTTTGCTTTCCTTTGCTGACGTTAATTTTTATTTTTTCCTTTGTAGCCCATGGGCAAGTGTGAGCCGCTCCAACTCTGATACGGGTTGGCCAGATTCTGCGGGTGTCATTGAGAGTGGCGCCTCAGATAAAGATTGGCCAATAACATCTCAGTCTAATTCATTTTCTGATCTTGTGCCCGAATTTGAACCTGGCAAACCCTGGAAGGTAGGTCAACTATTTGCTTTCTCCATACATACAGTCAGTTTTGGATCCAACCTAGCTTGAGAGTTTGCCTTCATTTTGAGCATTTACTAATGTTGTATTTTTGTTTTTGTTATAGGGTATGAAGTCCATTGAAGACGATCCCAACATTACTCCTGGGTCAGTGGGGCGCTCACCATTGTCCTTGGCTGCACTGAAGGAGCCAGAAATGTTTCCTTCTGGTGGTGTAAGCAAAACTTCACCAACTTCTTCTGGTGGTGAAATCATTACTCCTTTGAGTCTCTCGTCGTCGTCGACATGGAGCTACAGCAATACGGGGTCTTCAACTGCCACCTCCTTTGCCAGGTATTTTTTTTAGTGTTGATCTCTCCCTGAAGTATGTTGCGGTCCATTTATTTTCTTGATGTTTTCTTGATCTGTCTTTTGGGAAAAACGAGGTAAAACTAGGGTTCACCTGAGAGGTTTCCTGTATGATCCATTATTGAGTTGGCAAATTTTTCATTTCTTGTGGGCATTTTGCTGTTATGTTTTGCCATCACTTCTCCTTTACATGTCATTTCAATAATAAGCATGTGCCTTGCCTCATTAGTTTGATGTGTCCAAACTATACCTAGTTCTAAATTTTATTCTGTTGAAATTTTGTGCCAAAATCCTCAGTTTGTTCAGGTTGGCTTAATGAAATTGCAGCACAAGGAGAAGGTAGTATGTAATTTTTAACAGATGACTTTTCTGTAGTTTTTATTCAGTTTCACATTAACTGCTCAGCATTGATGACTTCATGCATGTCACTTCATCTGGACTACTTTTGGTTTTGAAGTGAATGCTTGTCTTCTTTACTTTGCAATCTACATAAATCTCTGACTTCTCTGAAGTCAATAGGCTATCGAGCTACTATGCGCCCTTAGCTCTTGTCTCTGTGACCAGTTTGTATCCCTACTTAAAGGCCAGGGCAATGTTAATTATAGGCTGGAAAAGGATGACGTCAGATATTATAGACAGGTAGTTCTTTTGTTTCGTTTCCTATGTGGAAATTGTATGCATGTGACTGACCAGCTGGTTCCCTGCGCTTTCAAGTCTTGCCACACTAATCCGATCCTACTCTTCTCTGATTGAACCCCTCCTTGTTGAGCCCGAGCCATCGTTAGATGAATCTCTCTGCCTGTCTCTCTTCTTCTCGTCCGTCTCTAGACGTGGGGCCCTTCTGGACCGCGGAGTAGAGCGCAGAGCCCTGCGGCTGGCATGCGGCGCTCCTTTCTCGTTTGGTTTCCTTGTGACTGCGTGCGACTGCCTCGCCTTGAACACTTTTCTCCCTTCCTGTTGCAGCCCCCTCGGCAAGCTCGGCTCCAAGGGTCCTTGGGGTGACGGCCCGGTGCCCACGCCTGCCAACTCGGAGCTGTGGGGCGCGCCGCAGAACAAGCCGCGTGGACCGCCGCCGGGACTGAGCAGCAAGAATCCCAACGGCGGCGGCAACGGCGCGGCCGGCGGAGGAGGCCAGGGCGGCGGAGGCACGGGGTCGAGCGGCAGTAGCACGAGCAGCAACGGCTGGGGCCGCGGCTCTGGCGGCGGCAACGGCTCCGGCTCCGGCGGCGCTGCGTCGTGGGGCATTCAGGGCGCAGGTGCGACTGCGACGCCCGGGGCGGGAACGGCGGGAACGGGCACCACTGGAACTGCGGGCTGGGGCTCTACGTGGCTCCTCCTTAAGAATCTCACACCACAGGTCAGGCATTGTCAAGTGCAACTTCAGGCAAGGTGTTGCGAAGTTGAGTTCTGTGACAGGAAGGATTGTTTATGATCAACGACTACCTGTCGTCAAGTCTTGGAGCGTTTGGCAACTGGTCCAGAAGCTCCGGTTTGTCTGCAGTAAAGTCGAGTCTAAATTGGTTGTCTCATGTGGTTTTGTTGACACTAACCGGGTCTTGAAGGCCTTTGGTGGGTGTGGGTGGCGTTCTGCCAACTTGTCTGGTTTCCACTTGTCTAAATTGAGGCAATGTCAAGTCTTCAGAGGAGTGCAGGTTGCATGCTCTTTCGGAGGTTTCTTTTAACTTTACAATGGATTGACACGTCATGCCTTCAAACACTGTCTACAGTAGAGCCTCAGTCAGTTAATTTCAAAATGACCTGTTCTAACTTTGGTTGTGGGGTATTCTCCCTTCCCCTTTCCCCACCGAGTGGCTGTATTAAGCTGGTGGTGCACAACCTCCAACTTGATTCAGCTTGGTGTGTCAGGAGCGCGTACCGCCCTTCAGCTGCTTTCAAATTTCCTGCTTTTTATTTCCTTTATTTGTTTTATTTTGAGTCCCCTCAGTCTGTGAGTTCTATATCTCTTTCATTATTTAATCTTCTTTTGAATATGTCTTGATCAACTCCAAATTTATTAGTAGTCAAAACTTCAGACTGATAAATTTATTCTTTAATCTTAATTTGTTTTTTAGTAAACCTTTATTTCTTTTTCAAATTTTGCTTTTCAATTTCTTTGACAAAGGCGTACGCTGGGTGATATCAAAATTTGCCCTTATTGTCTTACATGTTAACCTAACACACCATTGTTTGTTGCAGTAATTGATATCTTTGCCAGTGTAACTTTAATTCAACCAGATAACTCATTCATTTGTGCAGCTGGTGCTGACTTAGCTCATTGAAGGCAGTAAACTCACTCCCCGCGTACACCCTTGAAAGTTACTTCTTAGAACACCTTCTGTAGCAAGTTCTATTTACACATCCTTGGTTCTAGTTTAGCATTCGCTCTGCATGCACTTTTGGACTTTGTTCTTGCTTCATATGTCATTCTTCAAATGTGGCTAGCTGGAATTCTCAAGTAAAATTTCAACTTGTCAAATTTAAATATCTAAATATAGCAAGTTAATTCTAGTTTTGCTGTTACGCATCTATCTTGGTAATAATTACTTCATCTAACATTGTGCAAGTTTTTATTTATGCTGTTTCACATCTACTGAGATCTTGATCAACTATCTTAGTCACAGACTCGTCTATTTATTTTTGCTTCCTTTTAGTTTGCTTGTCATTTTTAACATATGATTAATATTTTGCTTCTTGTATCTATTTTCAGATTGACGGGTCCACTCTGAAGACGCTATGCCTTCAGCATGGTCCTCTTCAGAGCTTTCATTTGTACCTGAATCATGGCATTGCACTCGCCAAATACCAGAGCCGTGAAGAGGCCAACAAGGTGAGGGACTAGCTCTTTGCTGTTGTATATCTTTCTTTTTATCTTCATGGTTGAGTTTCACTTATTTGAGTTTCCCTTGACAGGCCCAAGCGGCATTGAATAACTGCGTCCTGAGCAACACAACGATTTTCGCTGAGTCTCCAAGTGATAGTGAAGTGCATAACCTGCTCTCACACCTTGGTGGGCACGGTACCGCCCAGCAACAGCAGAGTGGAGGTTCCGCTCCCAACTGGGGCATGCGCTCCTCCAGTGGAGGGGCAGGGGCTAACCCGGGAGCTCCCCCTGCTCCTGGGAAGGCCCCTCAATCCTCTCAGGTTCGTTTCTGTCTTGCCCGATTGTCTAAGTAAAGACAAGCCCATTAAAATGTTGCTTTTAAAGAAAATAATTCTTATTTACACATGCACTTCATCATGTTTGCAGGACACATGGGGATCTAGTGGAGGTAGCAATAGCAGCCAGCTGTGGGCTAACACCCCATCTAGCAGTGTGCTGTGGGGAAATTCGCCCATGGACTCGAGTGGGGACCAGCACCGGGCCACTCCCTCTGCTTTCCTCCCTGGTGACCTACTGGGAGGAGAGAGTATGTGAGTCTAGGTGAGAAAGTCCCACATCATCCATCGCAATTTCTTTAATGTAAGGCATTGTACAATCACTGACTGACATATCTCAATTGAAAGCAATTCCTGTGGTTTTGGTCTTCTGAGAACTGAAGTAGACCAAAGGATATGAAGCCTGTTCTCAAAACCAGTCAGTGCTTTCATTGACATAACTGAAAGCAGTTACCTAAAATTAAGGCTCAGAGAATTATTCTAAGTGTTGTTTACAATGATTTATCATGTTTAGTATCCCCTGGCTCTACCTGTGATCTCAACTACCTTAATCAAACGGCTGCTTTTTCCCTGTTGTTGTTTATTAATCTGATTATTAATTGTAGTGGAAGGACTCTCCAAAAACAAACAAAAAAAGATACATATTTTTTAAAAAACGAGAGTTCTTTTATATGCAAACAGACTGCACGCCCAAGTATATTTAACTGTTTACCTTTCCATTGTTATGATTTATGTTTTGTTCACCTTCCAAGTTTCACAGAGAGCCAGCCATTTTGAGTCTCATTTACCTGAAATGGCTGTACAAATCGTCAACTTTTGTATTCACACCCATGTGCTGTGACGTTCATGTGTCGTTTTTGTCTTAGATGTGTGATGAAATTGCTTTTGTAGTCCATTTCTCTCTCAAGTTGTAATTGTAGTCATGTCTTTAATTGGTGCAACAAAATCACAAATCATCACATCAATGCTACCTATGTGGTATTGACATTTCTAAGTTTTATTATTTTATTATAAATTATATGTGTAATGTGTATCAGGGTTGGAACCCTACAGAGGCTCCACATTCAAAGATTATTCTAAGTACTTGCATTAGCTAATTGATGGTTTCATGTGTACATGTTTGAAATGCCAACTGTAGTGCTTAGTTGATGTGACCGATCTAAGTTAACTGAGTAGTGAAAAGATGAGATTTGAATTTGTGGTTAATGGAATGTGCTTTACTGTTGTTTCCTCTCTGCCAATACTTGTACCAAATATTATATTAAACAGGAAACATGTTTTACCTAGACTCTAAGGGTATGATAATGTCAATAGGAAGTAAGATTTTAATATAGAAGTAAATGGAAAATATACGATAAATGATATGGGGGAAGTGAAGTAACAATTAACAAAATGAGCATTCTCCCCAAGTGTAGACTAATGTCTTGGGACTCAACAAATTGTGACTTAGGTCGCATCGCTTCTTGAATGTGATATAGCAACTATAATGGACCTGTGAAATAAAAAAACCCTTGTCAATTGTGACTTACTTGAGTGTGAAGAGTTGAACAGAGAGAGAGAAATTCAATGAATACGTACACACATCCTGTTTGGCTGTTGTCTTTAATATATTGAAGATCATAGAGATATATAAATAAATATATATTATATTATATTATATTCATGAAACATATAATTAACTAATATGCCTAGATTCCTAGAACTGATGTTTTATTAAAGTACAAGTGTTCAAGTCATGTGTTTTTCCTCTAAGTGAAAAACATGCCAGCATTTTGCTTGATGGTTTCATGTTTTCGAGGGGTTATTTGGTGTCTTGCTGAAAAATACCAAGACCTTCAATGCCTTTTCAAAAGTAATACATGAAGCATATTTGTTGTTTGTGTTCTGTGTTTAGTGCTTTCTGGTATTACCTCTGTGACCAAAAGAATGATATGGTCTTGTGATGCAATTTCTATTAATCTATCAGATTCAAAAGTAGAATTATGATATTTTGCGTGTGAATGTGGCTATTGAAACTCTTCAGTTAACTGTGAAGCTCAGCTTTAGTAGAATTGATGTTAAACTTGTTAAGAGAGTTACTCTTAAAGAAATCTTGCACAAATTAAGTTGGACTAGCTGATATGGGTACTGTCCATCACCTGTGAAAGCATGAATTTGAGGCATGTACCATTTCTTAGTATTTTATATCCCAACAGTATTTTGTGATGTCAGTGCCACCTTGTTGAAGTTGATACATGTCAGAATATTAATTGAAATGTGTGCTTTAATAATATTATTGAATGTAGTAGTAATAAGCTCGTTCAGCGACATTGGAAATGTTAGTGTTACTTCTTCATGGTTAATCATAAAATTTAATTTTGATGAATTACATGAGCCATATCAATTATTTGAAAACTAGTTTCCTCATTACTGCTTGTTTTAAAAGTATATCTTGTGACTTCAAAAGTGAGATGGTCTGTTATAACAAGTCTGCCAAAATGTGTTTTCTTTTAATTATTATTTTTTAATAATAGATTTTTTTTAAAAACATAAAATTGACTCTCTAATACTTTTGATAGCGGTAGTGTACATAGATTGGTAGTTGGATTTTAACTAATAACAAGAGCAAACGCCAAAATTTGACCAAGTATTTTCTTTATTTTATTGTTTTGTTTTACTCTGCATTACATTGATGGTTAAGAAAAACAAGCTTGGTGCATAGTTGTAAGAATTGGCACTGATATTTTTCTTCCAGTGATCTTACATAATGTGAAGATAAATGTGTATTACTTCGTAGGTACAAAAAATCAATTTTGAACACACCTGTCTGTTTCATGTTCAGAAGCTCTGAATGTATTAGTGCATTTTTGTGTTTTGTGCATAAACCAGCATTGCAGGAATCTGGCTTAGTCATCTAGTATTTGCCAATACTTAATTGTATTATTATGAATATATTTCTAATGTCATTGGAACTCTTCTAACAGTGCTAATGAGTAGTTTAAAAGACACTGAAAAGACAAAGTCTCTGAGAATCGGTAATGGTAGCTAATATGCTCTCTGTGAGATTCTTCAATACTCTTCATCAGGCCATCCTGCCCTGTTGGTTCAACTTTGCCCAGCTGGTTTCTGATATGTTAGTTTGGGTTTCTGGGTTCTCTTATGCACTTAATATCACTGGGTAAATTAAATAATTGTAAATATTTGGTTGAATGTAAATTCCTTCTAGCAATTAAGTGTTACTTAAGATAAAGGGTTGTAGTGTTCCATTAATTTGATGTGTGTTAATGAATTTTCAAATGTGCAGGTTTACATGTCGGCCACCATTTGTGATAGCAAATTAAGTTGATGTGTTGAACACTGTTCAAGGAGCGCCTTCCTATAATAGAGCATTGATACTTAGTTTTAAGCAAGATTTTTAAAAACTGTTTGCTTGATATTAACAAAAGACTTAGGGGGTCATGCAAATGCTAAACTGGAACTTGTGCCATGTGGTCTACTATGACCAAAAAAACCTTTAAATGTAAATTCAAGCACTCTTTCATCCAGATACTTTTCCTGCTTTTGCTTAGTTAACTAAGTATCCAGTTCCATCTCATTTGACCCCCTCCCATTTCTCCAATATATTTCTTGTGACAGAAAAGCCATTGTACTTGTAGTTGTAGCTGATAGATTACCAGTACAATCTAGGGTTGATGTGGGAAAGATCAGGACTGTAGTTTACTAGTTAGTTTAAATGGAGTATCTGGTTTAGTTTGAATTGTTTTGTTTTTCTGTTATGTTTTCAAAGCATGTTTGTCTCTTGTTGACTGGTGTGCTTTTGTTACCAGACTCCCTTTAATATTAGTTAATTTAATGAGCTCCAGGTTACACAGATCTACTTACTCCTTCCGTCTGCCAGAGGATGGGTGTACTGCACTGGTTAGACACTCCTGAGAATCGTGCCTGACTGACACACTACTAGTCTCCTAGCTGTAAAATCAGTAATTCTTAAAATTATCTAAGGTTTACAAATTTGTTTTATACTGGCATTTTTAATACAATCATGGGTATACTTAAAGAAAAATGCACAAGTCTTTTATCAATAATATTGACTTTTCTATATTTTTATTTCCAATATTTTCTTCTTTGTTCCCCTTTTTTTGGTAGACAGTTTGGTTATGGTTGCGTTTGAATGACATTTAGACCCAGCAACATTAAGGAACACGGCACTTATGTTCATTGTTGCTTGTGATACTGTGACTTTGTCTGAGAGGACTACCGCAATTTTTTGAGTGGTTATTTTGTGTTTTCATGTCACTGTTTAATATTTAATACCAATTATTATCATTGGATGTTCGTTTATTTTGTAATAAATTTGAAAAAAGTAGTTCTGTAATCCCATTCTTTCGAAATTACCCTTACCCGCCTAAAGGCCTACAAGGCTCATGAGTCCTATCTTGTGGATTTCATTTGACATTCCGACCAGCAAAACCAATCAATTTATGTACCTGATTTGTGTCACTCAAGCCAACAGTCCTAATCTAGGCGGGATAAGTAGATTTTGTCTTTTCTTTGTTTTTTAGCATTGTATTCATGAAGCAATATATGAAATGAAGTAACCACTCAGTGACCTTTTTGGTTTTTATTTTATTTGTCATTGGTCAAAAGGCCTATTGGTGTGGAGTTTTTGTCCAAAATATTATGAAGGAAATTTCTTGTCTTGCTGATAATGGTGTCATTCTTAGTACGCTGAATTCCTGATGAATTTTAGTCAAATGATTTTGTTTTTGTGTTCTCATAGACTTGATGATTGCTGTAAATCACCACCTCTCGTAAAACTATTTTGGCTCCAAATATTGAACATAAGTGCCTGCATTTGAGCATTTTATGGTACCATCCATATTACCCAGTTATCGTCCATGTCAGAAATGTAACTAACAACATATCAGTTAAATTTTTGTTTTTGATCCTCATTTTAAATTGAATTGCAAAGAGTTGGAGAGATAGGAACTAAGTAGATTATTTCCTTCATGATGATTTTTCAACAGACTCGTCATGCCTAAGGTCGCACCTTTTGTCCAGTCAGGCACACCATCAATTCTTGCTGGTTTTGTTTTGGCATCAATACAAAGAACCTTGATGGAGTGTCTGTAAATGTTTGCTCAGTAAAGTCAGTGTTTCACCTGCATGTCCTTTAGAAATGCACAAAATATGTGAGTTTTGTTATGTACAAGCACAATGAATGGACGACAGCAGTAAGGGTCATTTTGCTAGCAATCCATCAAACTTTCTGTTTTAGTACATGTTATGTTTTAGAAAAAGATCTTTTTTGTTCCAGTAGAGTAAATGATTCCCAGTGGTATGTGGCACTGCTAAAGCTTTCTCTTAAAGTGTGCAGCAAAAAAAGAAAAAAAAGCAAACAAAAAAAACAAGGGTTTTCGCTTGTGGATGGTAAAGAAAAAAAGAGAGAGCTATTCATGCCAAATGTCTGACCTAAGTTCATCAATCTTTTAGTCAATTGTGCTCTGACATCATTTATAGAGGATTTTTATGTACCTACGTGATCCTACTGTTGCTCATAAAATAGCCACTGGGAATTGTCATTCATCAGACTAATTTGAGCCTATCTTTTCATCTTATTCAATTTGGGGAACATGATTCTTCATTGCCCATATCATTAGTTGTGTCTTTTGTGCTTATCAACATTTTAAAAAATAGCTATCAGAGACTCAGGCAATTGTGCTTGTGGACATCGTAAGTAAGGTAAACACTGTGGTGGAACATTTAAAGCTTAACCGACTGTAGAACTGTATGTTGTCCAATCTTTAAAGTATATTATTAGCAAATTATTCAGGACCATCATAAGTAGAAACTTCTGTTGTAATTACCACATCTGCCAGGATGTGTTCCAAGTCTTCAACCAAAAGACACTCAGTTGTTGGTATGAATGGAAGTTGTAAGGAGGTATTGTCAAGGAAAGTTGCTGAAGTCATTGTATCAGCCTTATATTCATTTCTTATGACATGTTACCACATGAAATATCCCCTCCATTAATTTTATGGTTGTGAGTTGTTGTAATGGCACTTCCTAGATTAGTGTGTATAGTGAGAACTGTAGCTTTTGATCTTAATATTATTTAGAATGCTTTTTTTATTATTATTCAGCTTTACAAAAGTTAAGTGTGACAAAAAAAATGTACTCATGTGATGAATGTGTTTGTTATTTATAGGCAATCGTGGAGGATGTTCAGTCAAGAGGTCTGATTTCTGTTGTCCTTCATTGTGAAGTGCCTTTTATGAAGTCCTTAATGTGATTTCTTAAAGACCTTTTATTTTCTTAGTCAAGTGAAAATGTGCAATTTACGTTCGTGCTGAAACTTAAGGAAAATTGTTTAAACAGTTAGCTAAGTGGCATAAAGTTTGACTAAATGTATTATGTCAACTGCCAGTGTTGTTTCTCAGGTGATGGTGTGAAGGTTGTAAATAATTGTTGGGGCTTTGGATTGGATTGAGGGAATAGTAGGGTTTCCAGCCCTGGAAGACTACTTTTGCTTATTCTTTTAAGATATTCCAACCGAGTTTCTTTAACTCGGGTATGCTTTGTGCATCAGCTCATTCTTTGACATGTAAGAATTCCTACTTGAATGAAAGATGTACTCAGTTAGTGAGCTTTCATTTTTAATTTATTTTTGTCAGTAGTCTTGCAACCAGCTTCCTTGTGAGTTCTATATGTTAGCTATGTTATGGCTGATAGGTTTGCTGAACAGAACACTGAATGCTGAGAGAGAACTTGTTACTGTAGGAGCTCATGGTGAAGCAGTGATATTCTTAACACAGTGTTGAACTTATGCAGAGACTAAAAAATTTTGTATTTATGGTCTATTTTGATGTTAACAATCTTTTTATGTCTAATGTTTTGTGTATTTTTGAACAATTTGCTGTGGAATTCTGTTAGACCTAACTCAGGACACTCACTTTCTTTCCAACTGGAGAGCAACTTTCAGAGACAGGGTTCTGTAACCATGAAATTGACATAACCATTTCTGGTCCATATCGAAAAACTTACAATTTGTGGAACACAATTTTGTTTTGATTTGCTCAAAATGTTCATGTTAATCAATTTAGGCAATGGTCCTCTACACAGCATTTCTATGGTCCTATATTACATCTGCAGATTATGCAGCGTACCATAAACAAAAGGGTGATACATAAAGTGAATAGAAGCAAGGTTAGTGTTACTTGTAGGGAAAGATCTCGTCTAATGAAATACGATCTGCCATGTTAATAGTCATGAACCAATTTCCTCTATTGTAAATGTGAAATAAGCAGAAGACTGGAAATTTCATTAACCATAATATCCAGGTACAAAAGAAACCTGTGAACAGTGGATACCTTCACTAATTTTCACCTATATCTATGAAGTAAATTCATTATTTTAACCCCTGTATCAAATATGCAGAGTTTACTTTACCTTATTTTCATTGTGACTTTCAATGTAGGACTCAAGTGAGCTTACAACCTGGTCAGCAGTGGGAATTGCTCTCCATTTTGTCAAAACATGTGCCTTTTCTTTTCATTTCTTTTAAGGGAAAAAATTGTCTTAAGTGAAACTTGTGGATGTAAACATTGCTTTTAATACTGAGTGTATCAAACACAGTGTGTGATAAAAGGCATTCAGATTTATATATTACTGTTCAAATAAGGATAAAATCTTGCACCTAGTCCAAGCTTTTTCATTTCTTCTATTTGTGTATCTACTAATTGTGATTAATTTTCCTATCTGTGCCTGTATTGTCCATGCCTGTCTCTGTGCGTCAGTCATGAGAAGAAAAGAAGGGATGGTTTACTCTAATTTCTTCAAACTTGTGAGGTCAGGGAAAACTGAGCAGTTTTCGGATTTATGATAGTTCAATGCTGAATCATTTTTCTTCATGTGCTGCATGAAACTAATTATTCAATTATTACCGTACCTTCCTTCTGAAATTTCCATTTCATGTCTGCATAGTCTTAGTCGTACTATAAATTCGGTCTGAGTAGTCATGGTCCTTTCACTTTCGTATGAGTGTATGTAAACCGTATTTAATTTAGGAATGGGAAATTTAAAGAGACAATAAATTCTACAATACAATCAAGGAAAATATTTACTTCTCTAGCATTTTAACAGGTCATTGTTAAAGTTACATACTATATCCCAATCTGTACCCTCTTACTTAAACATTTTACAAGCTTTTATTTCGAAGTCTAATTACAGAAAATTATTTGGCAAAGCTTGAAACCTTGCATACGGTTGGCTAAAAAAGTGAAACTATCAACATATCCTTCCATCCATGTTGTGATGGTTAACTGCTCTGAATTCCTTCCTACATCACAATGATCATATTTTAACTGGTGATTGAATTCCAGGAAATAAGTGGTATATCTCATTTTGCACAATGGACTGAAGCACAGATTAGACTGTATTTGTATTTTTCCCCGCACTCAATAAGTTGTAAGATGTTAAAAATGGAATTTCTTAGTCACTTAACGATTCCATTTACCAGTCATGACAAAGTAAAAAGAAAAAGTACCCCTGATCAGTATTTATCTGTGTATGCTGAAGAATTTTTAGTCCAAAATTAATTTACTTTTGTATCATAGATGTCCAACTTGTGTTGGCATTTCATACAACAGAAAATCAACCCCTATTTTCTGCCACTTTGGTGCTGTTGATTATGACTATTTTACTGTATTCCATTTCTTGTGTTCCTGCCAAGTTCAAATGTTGGAATGTTGCACATATATTACATACTTAATGCTTGCTATGAATTAAATTTCATAATACGCTTGCTGTGAATGAAAATGTTGCATTGTGTATCATCTTGGTCTTAAATAAAGTAAAAATATAAAGCTAAAGAAATGAGCTCTACTATAGTTCCTGTTCTACTCCTCAGTGAGTGGCAACCTTCAATCATGTGTGAGATATTTTAAGGTGACACAATTGATAATAATCCCAGAATGCCTAAGAACAAATGATCTGGAGACACTTGACACAAATCTGGTCAGTAGCAGAGATCACTGAATCTGTATGAAAATGTTCACACTTGAGAAGAATTATATCAGCCCCAAAGTTTCAAGTAAGAGATGCAGAAAGTGAATATGAGTGAACTGTCCTCTATCACAGCCAATCATGCAGTTTTATGCCTGCCTTTTGGGGGTTTCAATCCACTGCATTTTGCATTAAGTCTCAGTGCTCCTCAGCTCTTTTAATCACAAAACTGCTCAGATATTCTCAAGTGGGAAGACAGAAAATTGAAACTGAGTGCCAAAGTTCCAAGCTCCTATCACATCACCTTGGCATGCTCTCCTTCCTGATGCTGACCTACACGTGTAGCATGTTTCCTAAACCATTCGTCAGGCTCTAGTTTGCAATCATTAGATTTGTGTGTTGTAGAATATTTAAGCATTTGCTCACAAATATTTGTCTTCTGTGTGATATGTTTTAAATTAAATTAAAATTGTGAATGGTGTAGTGTTTCTGAAGTCCTGATATTGTTGGTTCTTATATGCATGTACTGCTGGGTGTCATTGTTTAGTAGTACCTACTACCATCCTTCATTAATTGTAATACATAACAAAAATATCAAAATGGGATTTTACAAGAACTGTCTTTTTTTTCTTTTGGTTGACATTGTAAATTCTGTGCATCCTGCAAAGATAAGCTTCTTTTTGCATCTGCTACATAATCGAGTCTAAACTAGAATTTCTATAAGGTTTACAAGTTTCTTATGTGTATGTAATGGAAAACGAACCATATAAGATTCCATTCGTAATACCTATGTATGTTCTCTTTGCATAATTTCAAACTGTGTTCTACTCATATAAAACTTAAGATTTATGTGTGCTGGTCGTGTCGTGATGTTGCTTGATCAGTTAATCAATCAATCTATAATTTTTGGTTGGTAGCATGCATCTTGACTATGTTACATTTTCTACTATCTTTCTCTCTCTCTTTTCTCTCTATAAACCCATAGAGTAGAGATTTAAAGATGGTTAGGGTAAACCTTGTGATCTGGATGCTGTCATTAATTAATGAAGGAAGAGGTTGCTGGTTAACTGGCTGGCTCAAATTATGCATTATTAAGTCATAAGCATGAGAAAGGATTTCAACGCAAGACTTAGTGGCATTGCATTGCTCTCAACTTGTGATTTTGTCTATAGACTGGAGCTTAAATTAAAGTACAATATTTTTGAAATAAATGATGGAAAACAAAATAATTGAGTTGAAATAACAGAACATCACACTATTCTGAATCCACTCTGTGTTCCATTGTAGATTGGGAAGATTGGTTAAGCACTATAAGTGCTGATGATTGGCTAATGTCTAAAGTGATTCTAAAACATTTGCCGGATCCACAAGGTGTAATTTTGTTACTTCCAGGCTTGATCAGGGCTAGTTGTATGAATTCACCATCCTGTCTTTACAATTTATCTGTGAGAAGCTGTGTTGTTTTATGAAATTTGATTTAGTTGTATGTTGATTGCTTGCCGACATTTTCCTAAGTGATGTCCTAAGGTGATTTTTTTCCTGATGAATATTTATAGAATTGTTGAGAACTTTCATGCAGTTGAAATGAGTACTGAAATTTTTCAACTTTTTATTTTAGGCTGTTGGGTACTAGTCTGTTGGAAAATACTGAGTTGAGATTTCACAAGAAGTTATTTTAATTAATTTGATTTATTTTCCTAGAGTATGTTATTTACACTGCATAAAACTTTTACCATTTACACTGGCCAAGAACCAGACTTGTTCACTGTATGCTTGGTGGGGGTTGGATGGATTCTGTCATACTTGAGATGCCGAAGATGGGTGTCTTGAATGTCCTAATATGTGATCCTTTCATTCAGTTTCTTCCGTATTAATCTAGATTTTGAGTGAGCCACACTTCCTCAAATCACTGTCAAAAGCTGACCATTTGAACTATGACGGTGTTTATCATACTTTCCAAGAAAGAAAAAACAAATTGAAGAACAGAGCAATCCCTGTCACTTGCAGATTCCTTTTAAGTAGTGGTTTCCTGTTTCTGTTTTTATAACCATTGTGATTCATACATCTTGTTTTTTTTTTCTTTTTTGTATCTTTGTTCTTGTATTCCCATTGTGTTCTTTTTGTGGTGCATATTATGGTAATGACTTTAAATGTAAAAGTAAGAATGTGGTTTAACTTCCCTTTGCAATACCATAACATGGTGGGGAGCCATGGTAAGCCTGTCCAAATGGAACTGTCAGTATAGTTGTTTGGCAAAGTGGGTTCTGTTATTTTTTTTCGAATGTTGTTGCTTCATTAGTAATATTTGTTATATACAGTCATAATTATCTACCTTAGCCTATGTTTTTCTTGGTGTTTTAAGGTTTGTGTAATGAAAGTTCTAGAAAAATGCCAGTGACTCTTAAAGGATTTGATATGTTAATATATTAATATATGTTAAATCATGTGATGTATAGTAATATATTAATTTATCAGTTTATATTATTGTACCATCCTTATCTGTAAGACCAGTATGCATTCAATAAAGGTTGTCCTAAAGCTTTGGTTTCATTTAATTTTTCCTCCTGCCTCTGGGTTGCACCTGACAAGGGTCGTGGAGCCACACTCCAATTTGCAACAGCAGCTGTGAGATTTGAAAGACCGGTAAAGGAGATGTAACTGTAAGAGCGCTCTGAATTACAAGGAAAGACACCATTCACTTGTTCTTTTTTTTTAATAGTTTTTCCTAACTTATGTACAAAAATAACAGCTTACAACAATATGCAGGCTTTTAAAGTATGGACACAATAGTGGTAGAAAAAATAACCAAGATTTCCATGGTCCAATTGATGTAAAGCAAGGATTTCAAATAAGGAACAGTATATGAAAACAGGGCAATAAGTTCTAACAGCTATTTACAATGGATTCAAAAGATTGAAAACAAAATTTTAAGACACAGATATTGGCTATTAACCGCATTCTCTTTCTCTGACCTGACCATTCGATCCATATGACTTCTTTATTGTCAGAACTTTGAAAGAAACTAAAAAAAAGACTCAACTTTGGTTGGAATGGCCTGGAATTAAAACCACAAACTAATGATCAAATGATCAATGTTTCAGGGAACACACTAATTGAACAATCCTGAGGTCTAGATATGCACAGAAGCAAGGCACCTCTACATAACATTATTTTGGCAAAGTTTCTACAGTTTAAATTTGTTGACTTTTTTGTTTTGTTTTATTGCTTTGAGTTTGAACCAATAAAAGCACTACCTGATTACACAAGTCATCCTCCTTCAGAGCCAAAACACAGCATAAAATTTATGATGATTTCATAACAACAGATTAGATGTTATGCCAATTGAATGACTATAGATACATTAAAAATATAAAATAAAAAAAATTGTTTGCTAATCAGACCTCAAAGTGTTGACAGTAATGATCAAGTACTATCCTATGTTCAATGGACAATAAGGCAGAGATAAAATGAAAGATCTCAAAATCTGCCGGGAAAATGTTCCTCTAGTCAGGCATTTCCCATGTGTTCAATGTAACACCTCTTCTGTTGGTCCCGTCTTGAACATAAAGATTCAAGAATAGCTAAAGATACGAGAACCACATCAGAGACGATAGATAGATCCCTCATAGTTTTGTTACAAACATCCAGTCTAGCTAAACAATTTACCATAGATTCCTTCTAGATTTGTATTGTCGAGACTTGATGAATAAGTTTAATAAATAAGCACAAGGCCACAGGGAGAGTGATGGGCCGAATCCTATATAACTGGTGCAGCTAAATTTAACAGAAATGCACTTTATACTACGCATGCTAAATCAAGATTGTTTTTTTCTTTTCCTTTTTTTGGAAGTATTACTAAACTTATGCATCCAAAAAATAAATTTGATGGTTAATTTTGGCAACCAGTGACGAAGCACCATACATATAGTACAAGAGAGGAAGGTAGTAAGCAAGTCTTAACAAATAATCTTCTACTTAAGGAACTTAATACTAGAGCAACAGAAAATTAAGGTTTTTGGTCACCTACAAAATACAATATTTAATTCACAAGTTTACTACATAGTTAAAAATTAACAAAAAAAAATTGTTTTCATTCTTAAGTTAAACAAAATTTAATTTAACAGATTTTAAACTTTCCAATCTGCACAAATTATAGAATGAAAAATTAACTTTTACAGTATAGCTACAGTCAAAGAGTACAGCATCTCTTGCAGTTTTTAATCTAGCCATACAGATATGTTTGCATTTAAAAGAGATATGTAAACTCTGATTTGAAAGAGTAAAACATGTTACAAATCAGTCAAAAGATTGACATTGATAAGCTACTGAGACATAACTTCAAAAAGAAAACAATGTAAAATTTTTTTCAAAAAATATACAAAAAGTTTTAAAAACCTTTTCTGTAAAATATTCCCTACACGTTCTTCCACAATTATGTTGGAGCTTAGAAAGTTTTTAACATTTCCCTAACTGTTTAAATATACAAAGTAAGAAAGTTAACACAGTCAAAATAACAAAAACATTATTGGGTTTTGCGATTTTCTCTACTAACACCGTCTGATGACACATATCCATTACTGATACCATTTGAGTAACAGCTTGAGTATGCTTTGCTATAAGGGCTTTCATAATCACTAGGAGAGTGCGCTTTGCCATTGGCGCGGTTGGCATTCCCGTCCGTTGTTTCATCAAGAACAGGCTGCAACAAATACACACATGGTAAACATTTTAAGCCCCTATCATCTAACGGAATGAAATAATAAAAAGGAACATCGATCCATACCATGCAGGCTCCTCCATTTTGGGAAGGTTTCTTTTGGTTTTTGGCACTGTAACTGGTTTTGTAAAAGTCTGAGAACAGGAAGAAGAACAACAAGCCGTGGAGGCCGATCCAAACCATGAAACTCTTGGGGTAATTGCAGTCAGTGAACAACAACTGGAACTGATGGGCCATAATGAGAACAAACTGAACCTGCAAAAAATAAAACATGAGGTCAATAAAATGCATTTTTCTTTTGAGCCCGAAAATTGAATGTTTTAAACAGCTGAAAATATGTGGTTACCATCTGAATTGAGGTGACGTATTTCTTCCACCAGATTAACCGCCTGTATTTGGGCCCCATGGCAGATACCATGTAGTAGAAGTACATGATTATGTGCACAAAGGTGTTCAGGAGAGCAAAGAAAGTGCTGTGGCCACCTAAAACATAAAATACATAAGATTTAAGAAACAAACACTCAGACAAATTTAGCGCTAGCGCAGCTTGTCATAAAATCAAATCTTACCTGGAGCAAACTTCACGCCCATCCAAACAGAGAAAGGCATAATTCCATGGTGGATAACATGCAGCATTGACACATGCTCATTCTTTTTGCGAAGGATAAAGAACAGCTGAAACAAAAGAGATCAGAGATTCAGAGACCAAAGCACTGAAAAAGTACTCATCCAAAAAAGGTACATGGAGAGGGAGTAAACTTACAGTGTCAAAGAATTCAGTGAACTTGGAGAAATAGTACCACCAGCATGTGTTGGCCATCTGCAATCAAATGTGGAAAAATTAAGACTCCCAATAAGGCAGGGATACAATTTTTACGGACAAAAGAAGAAAACAAAGGAAAAAAGAGAAGAACAAGAGCAAAAAAAACGCACCCTCATTGCTGAAGGGCTGTTGGAGTAGTCCACAGGTTGGCAACGGAAGCTGTACTCGCCGGCCCAACCGCTCATTAAATACTGAAACAGACAAGAGAGGAAACGAGGGTCAGCAAAATTCCGGCCACACCAAAGGGAGGCACAAGTGGTTCGGCCATCACGCGGTACCACCACTACCCCCGTTATGCAAGCGCGAGACCGAGACCTAGCTGCTCCAGCCTCCATAGCTCCTCTAGCTGGTCAGCTAGCTGGTCAGTTGCACGGGCATTACGCAAGACAATGAGCCGGGCGTGCCAAACTTGTGCGGGCAGAACACACCCAACACCAAGGTGACTAGGAAAGAAAAAAAAACTTGTTAAAGAATGGCAGTGCCCGAGTGAGTGGCTGGTCTGCCACGATGCGGTCCACCTCCACGGCCAACCACAACCACCCCAGTCCCAATGCCGCGCCGCGCGGGATGCAAACATTTGGCCCATTCAGGCAAAACGATGAATGACCCCCTCCCCTCCCCTTCCTTCCCCGCGTACAGCCATTGCACATCCTGATGGCGGGGTGGGGCGCCCAGCGCGCCCAGGCACGGCCGTGACTGTATAATGTGCAGAGTCCACGTCGAGCCGCGCCTGCCGTGCCACGCTCGCGTAATCATTGACACCCCTCCGCCTTGAACAAGCTGGCCCGCGGGCTAGGCAACCCGCAACAACAAGACCAAGCCCCAGTCAGGCCCCAGCCCTCGCTCAAGTAGGCAAAAAGTGCTTCGCCCCTCCTTTTCTAGCAACTACGGCTGGAAGCGCCCCTGCCATTCCCCTCCGCCCCTCCGCGCGAACAAGGACACGCTGTGTCAAGCCGTGTCTGCCGTGTCCAGCCGGCCGTGCCTTCGCCTCCTTCCTTCTCACGCCTTTATTAGCAGACGACGCACCATCCCGCCCCATCCCCCCGCAGGTCTTGGCTCGAAAAGAGCCGCCTTGTCTTTCGGTTTCTCGCTTCTCCCCGACCAGCCAGAAAACTCTGCCAGGAAGCGCTACTAGAGAGCTCGGCAGGCGCGGCCACGGCCACCGGGCCCGGGACGCGACGCGGCGTGCACGAGTTTTGAATTGTTGACTGCAACTGTTTTTCGCCACCTGGACAAGCACGGCGACGCACAGCGACGCACGGCGGAACACGCGCGTGCGGACAGCTCCAAAAGAGGGGTCCAGTCCCGCGCTCCACCGCGGTCTGTTTGGCAAACAGTGCGCGGCGAACGGCACGGGGCCCGCGGCCCTCGCGGCACGGCACCACGCGGCACGCGCCGAGCCAGCGCAGCCAGCGCCAAGCGCGTCACATGTCGCCACCAAAGCGTGGCAACGCGTGGCAAGCGTGGCAAGCGTGCCGGAGGCCGCAGGGCCCAGCCAGGCGGGCCGGGCCCAGGGCTGGCCCGTTGCCGCCGCACACGCTGTTTGGACGAAAATTAACAGCTCGGCACTTTCATCGAGCGGCCACGGCGCACTAGCGACGCTCGCGGCACCGCGCCACTGCGAACCGAGGCGTCCAGCCACGCACCGCGCCCGTCTGCGGTCCGCGGTCCGCCGTCCGCGGCGTGGCCATGACGCCGGGGCGGCCGGAATGCCCGCCACGCCACGCCACGCCGCCAAGACTGGCGACGGAAAGAAAAGAAAGACTCCATCGGCTGGCGTTGCCATGATAGGCAGCCCGCAGCCCGCGCGAGGAAGACCACCGTCGTGGCGGCCAGGGCAGCATTTTCGAGCCGACCAGTAACGGCGTCCATGCACGACAAAGCTCCGAGTCTGGCCGAGCCGCGCGTCCGGGGGCCGTGAAGGCGCGCCGGGTGGGCGTGGCGTGGCGGGGCGTGGCGTGGCGTGGCGGGGCGGGGCGTGGCGGGGCGTGGCGGGGCGTGGCGGGGCGTGGCGGGGCGGGGCGTGGTGGAGCCGGAACCAAACCCAGGGGTCTGCAAACGGCGTTCGAGCAACCCACCATGATGCAAGGCACGGGGAAAGACATGAGGAAGCTCACATTACAGCCCCCCAGCGGCGCTGCCGGCACTGCTCATCCAATCCACCAAATTCGGCCCGGCGGCACGCGGCAAAAGGCGGCAAAAAGGCGGCAAAAGGCGGCCGGCGCGAGGCTAGAGGGCCGCACTGGCACGCCGCACTTTCACCGCCACAAAAGCCGGCCACCCACACAGACACACGCACGCATGGCGACGCACGGTGTCCGGCAGGCGCGGCGCAGGCGGCACTGCCCAGCCAGGGTTCGACGCGTTTCGTCAACGCATCGTCCAGTTCCCACAGGTGTCGCCAGGCACATGGCACGCAGCACTGCCGCGTTGCATGGCTGGGGCGCTGGGGCGGGCCGCGGCCGTGTGCAAACGAGACAGGCCCCCCTCGCGGTCCTCAGCGGCCAGACAGACGGACGGAAAGTTTACCGACGGACGGTACGGACGGGCAGTGCACACGATGCACCCCATAATGCAACCCAATGCACACACCGTTAGCCACACACTCGGCCATCATCGCGACGCGAGGAGAGCCAGTCATTCCCTCTCCCCTCCAAAAAGGCCTCCGTGCCGCGCCTGTCGTCGACGCGATCCAGCCGACCCGTCACACTCGAAGGCGACGCGACGCGGATGTATTTCGCTCCGACTTGCGAAATGCGAATGCCCGCTTGGCTTCGGCCCGCCTCGACCCGCCTCGGCCCGCGAACCGAAGGAACGCCCCCCCCCCCGCCGATCTATAATGCATGCGGCCTACCGACCGGGCTTTAGCCGAGACGGGCGGGGCGGGGCGGGGCGGGGCGGGGCGAGGCGGCCACTCCAGGCCTAGGTGCGCGCCCAGTGCACTGCGCGGTGGCAGCGCGGCTCAAGGGTCAAACCTAGAAACGCAGAGCCGAGCCGCGCCGCCGCGCCTCGCGTTGTGACGCGACCGGGTTACGTCCGGGTCAGAATTTCCACTGCCCGCTAAACCAAAACAAAACAAAGACAGAGCACCAATCTCTCTCTCTCTCTCTTCCTTTCTACTCCACCACGTCGGTCGATCCTGCCACCACCGCACGCGCCCCGCGTTAGTCCGCGGTGTTCGCGCAGAGCGGCGCAGAGCGGCGCAGAGCCGCAATTATAGCTCTGTATATGGACGGGGCGGCGGGGCGGCCAACGCCGCAATTTCAGCCCGTCTTCGTCGCTCACCTTTCCAGCCGCGTGACTGTATGTGTGTGTGTGTTCGCGTCGGTGTGCGCCCGTGTGTGTGAGTGAGTGAGTGCGCAAGTCATCGGGCCCGCGCCCCGCCTCGCCTCGCATGCATGCGTGATGGCCCCTTCCGCCCCGTCGCCGCCTCGGTCCCCGCGGCGTGCGGCAGCGTGTCCCCGCGGGGCCGTGGCGGGGCGGGCGGGGCCACCCTGGCACAATATGGGGGGAGTGCGAACGGCACCGGCCAGGGCGGCACTACACCGGCACGCCGCGGCACCGCCCGACACCCACAGTGGCGCAGCGCGCAGCTCAGCCAACCGGCTCCCAGCAGACAGGCCTGGCAGGCGTGGCAGGCAGCGCAACAACAAACTTGGAATCGAACCGGCTGGTATACACTGTATACTGCATCAAGGAAGTCGTCCGAAAACGCGCACCTGGCCATAACGACCAGGCGTGAGGGAATGCAGGGCACTTTCAATGAGCTGCAAAAGGCGGCCAGGCAGGCAGGCAGGCAGGGCGTCTGGCAAACGCCACACCACGCCCTGGGCGCCCCCTCAGTCGCCCCTCCGGTCGCGTGCCCACGCCCAGTACACCCCGCACTGCCCGACATTGCATTGGGGCCGCGGCAGCGCGGCAGCGGCACCCCCGAGACCCCAGACCACACCGGGCCGGACAATCGTGGAGGCAGCCACTACACCCTCTCACTTTATTTCCGTTTTTATTTTCGTCTGTCGAGTGCGCGTTCATTTCCGGCCGTCTGCGGCGTCGCATCACCCCATTGTGCCCCTCCAGGCGGGGCGGGGCGGTAAGGGGCGGTAAGGGGCGGTAAGGGGCCCTCGCCGAGGCCCTCGCCGTCGTCGTCGGTCTGCCACGCGAACATCGACCAACTAACAACGAACAGGCAAGCGGCCTGCGCGGCAGGGGCACTGCCAGGGGCACTGCCAGGGGCACTGCCAGGGGCAGCCTGGACATAGACAGGCGGCCTCGGCGTGCCTACCTACAGGAAGACGGCGACGTGGCCAGGTCGCAGGTCGGGTCACAGCCACCCCCAGAGATAACGCGGCGGCAGTCTGGAGTCTCAGCCGCCCTCCCACGCCACGCCAGGCTAGGCCCCGCGTCGGCCGCGTCCCCAACCCCCCCGCCGCCAGCCGATACCGCCCCAAACCGCCCTGGACCGGCCGCAGCCGCCCGCCACGCGCCGCCCACGCACCGCCCGCATCACGACGAGGACCAAGCGCAGCCTGCGCAGCACTGCCCGCTCTTGTCAGCGGCGCAGCGCAGCGCGGCGCGGGGGTCGTGACCCCAGCACGTACGGGGCGGGACGCGCTCCTTGCTACGCCACTGCCGTGCCGCCGTGCCCAGGGTGGCCTGGTTCGACCCGCGCCGATAGTGCAGCCTGCAGGGCGAATCCGCGCGCAGTCCTCGGTCTGCCCCTCTCGCACTCGGGACGTCCCGTGCAGGTGCGAGAGAGCTAGGCCGACGGCCCACTGTGCAGAATGGCCCTCCTGGTCCCGCCCGGACTCCATCCGATAGTCTCCCGGGGGGTGGGCCCGGGCCCAGTCCCTGCCACGCCCGGCGCGGCCCGGCCCGGCCCACTGGGCGCGTCTCTAGGCCCCTCCAGACATCACTTTGCATGCTTGGGGCGGCGGGCCGGGGCGGCGGGGCACAGCTGAGCCGTTTCTGATAAGCCCGGCCCGGCATGCGCTGCAGATGTAGGCCATGCACGAGGCCCTCCAAGACTGCAAGGGCTGCAGGGCGAGTCCGAACCGGAACCGGAGGCACAAAGGACGGCATAAGGGCCGAGGCAAGGGCCGGCAGCGTCGAGGGCCGGGTAGCCAACACGATTTGGCCCTCGAGCGGCACTGACAATGCGCCGCGCGGCCGACGGCGACGTGCCCGCCTCTTCCTCCCCGACGACGTGGCCGTCGACACGTCGGACACGTCCGCCCAAGGCTTGCTGACCGCGGGTTGCTTCCCTGCAGCTTGCCTGCAGCTTGCCTGCAGCTTGCCAGCCAGCCGCGGGGCGACGATGGCGGCTGCACGCATGCACGCAGCGCCAGCACCCCGCAAACCGGAAACTCGTCGCGACGAAGCGCGCGTGAGGGGCGGGGAAGGGGGAGGGCGGTGCGGGGGTTGAGGCGCCACCAGCGCGCTGCGCGCTACGCGTGCCCGGCCGGCGCGGCCGCGGCTCAGCCAAGGGCGGGTAGGCCGGCACTGTGTTGCTTTGTTATTAGGATTACGTCCAAGGCCGCGCCAAACAAAGTGGGTCGCCGTGCTGCGCGCTGCGCCGACGAGCAAGCACAGCACGCCCCCGGGCCCCACAACGACCGGGCTGCAAGTTTGCTAGTTTTCCCGGCTCAGGCCGCAGATTCACCCCTCTCGGCCCGCGTTCGAGTTGACGCTCCGCGACGACCGGCGCGCCAGCTATCCAGGACCACGCACCACCACGACGATGCGGTGGCGACGACGGCGCCCCGGGTGCCTGATTACCCGCTGAGCACGCCGGCCCGCCCACCCCGCCCGGGGCGTATCGATCACAAGCCCATTCGCGCGGACGGACAGGCACACACCAACGCCTGGGCAGGGCGTGGCAGGGCTGGCAGGGCTGGCAGGGCATCGCACCGATTCAATCTAGCCGTCCAGCCGGCCAAATAAAGCCGCGGGGGGCGGCAAGGCGATGCAAGGCGAGCCGGTAGTCTGCGGCCGCCGCCTGTGAACTACCTCCGCAACCTCGCTGCTGACGGAGTCAACATGGTCGAGTACTCACTTCGTAAAATATCCACGTGCTAAAGGCGGTCTGGAAGGCGTTGTAGGCGATGAGCGTGTTCCTCAGGTTGAAGGGTTTCCTGTTCTCCATCAGGCGGGGGCCCACCACCTTGGCGAGGTACGCGAAGCTCAGGCAGATGGCGACGGTCGGCACCGGGGAGGACATCATGGGCCAGTTGTTGACCCGGGGATCTGCAAACAACAGACAGCGTCATTACTATGCAAAACACAGCAGTACCCACGCGTTCTTCAAATTTTTCCTAAAACGTTTTATCGGCGTCCCCGCCAATTGTAAATCGTAGCCGCCAAACCAGTATTCAATCAGCTCGCGGCACATCCAGACCTGACCTCTTTTCCCACTCGTTCCCACGCGCGAAGCTCATGTACATCGGTCAGGTATGTCACGGAGGATTCCTCTTCCCCCCCCCCTTTTCTTCCCTCCAGCATTTGCATATTGCATCAGCAAGTTCCGGCGGAGGCAATGCGAAGGCAATGCACGGCAAACGGACAGCGAGGCGAGATCCATCGGCATTACGCCACCGACAGACAGACAGACAGACAGAGCAGGCAGACAGACAGACAGACAGGACAGACAGACAGGCAGACAGACAGACAGACAGACAGACACAGACAGACAGACAGACAGACAGACAGACAGACGGTCCCCGGAGTGACTCGTCGCTGCACCCGGGCGCCTTGTCTTGACGGGCCGTGTCGCCAGCGCTGCAGAACGAGCCGGCCTCCGCCAAGACGACCTTGATCTTGACCAGCAGCGCCGCGGCCGGCCGAGGGCGGGGCGGGGTGGCGGGGCCAGGCACCGCCGGACTAGCCCCACAGCCAGTCGCTAATTCTCATTCTCACGGAGACGGAAGTCGTCCTGGATCGGTTCACTCACAAAGTTCACTAAGTTTAACGAATTAAAAAATCGTTTCCGTACGACACGGAAAAGTGACGGATGTCGCGATTTGTGTCGTAAAAACGACCCAAAGTGACCCAAGTCGTATTGTTTTCTGAAATGTCTTTTGGAAACAACTCCCTAACAATTCCTTTAAAAAATTCTATATATTTTTTTACAGTGCGCTGGGACCGGAGCTGGATCCGGAGCCGGCTCTGAATATAGTGGAAATCTACTGACGCAGCCCAGCCAATCGGTTTCCCCGAGAGAGGGAGTCGAACCATTCGGCAAAGCAGAGTAGCAATTCGGGCCGAAAAGCTCCGCCAATTAACGTGTTGCAACCCGACGGGGCGGGCCCAGCAGCGCCCAGCAAGCGGAGCCCCGAGTGGCAAAGCAAAAAAAAAACTGGACACACTCGCCCGTCATAGCGCAAAATTTTGCCAGATCGGGAAAACACGTTGACAAACCGGACGGGTAAAAAAAGACATGAAAAACAAAAACACGAATCTTCAAGGAAGGCGAGCCTGACGGGCGTCGCGGCCACAGCCGGCACCTCGGTTGCGTGTGTAGTGTAGTGTAGTGGTGGCCGGCCGGGTGATTAGTCGCAGCACAGTCCTGGGTCCGGCCAGCACGACAAGCGAGGCGCCTAGTCCTGGGGAACTTCTGCCGGACGCAGACGCAGGCGCCCATGACGCACAACTCGAGGGGTCCTATTCAAAAGATCTCATCTTTTCCGGGTAAAGGATCTCACCCGGTCATTTCCGGATAAAGAATCATATCTGAAATGCACGCGAATTCGTCCAAGTTTTCTACAGCAAACCCACCCCCTGGTTCTTCGGTCTTTCCTCTGGATCCCCGCTTTCTTGTAGTTGTCCCTAAAAATCGAACTAATTCACGAGTATTTTGGGTAGGATTTTTTCATTCGGAAACGACCAGATGATATCTTTTCCCCGGAAACAGTAAGAAAAAATCGTTTGAATGACGCCTCGAACCGCGAGCGCGACAGAGAACACAAAGCTGCACATTTCCCACAGTATTTCCTGGGGGAGGGGAGGGGACGCCCAGATAAAAACGTCCACAATGATAGGGCGGCTCGGACCGAAATACGTTTCTTTTCGCGAGAGCGACGACACGAGATTTCGCGCGATCTCGCACCCCGCGCGGCGCTGTAGATGGGGCAGATGGTCCACACAATTTCCTGTCGCGTATATTTTTAATACGCCCCCACCCTTCTTATCAGCCGGCAGATGCCGGTGTCGCTATCAGGGACTCGCGGCGTCGCGCCACCTGCCGCGCGCCCCGCCCCGCCCCGCCCCGCCACCCCGGCCCGCCCCGCCCCTCCACCCCGCCCCCAGAAGCGCGAGGCCCGATCGAGAGAACGAGGACTGCACGCTGACTTACAATCGCTGGGGCCGAGGCCGGATACAGTCGATGTCGAAACTGTATTTCCAGACCTGTCACACTTTGTTGTCGTCTCTCCAAGCACAGTTTGGCTTTAGTTTGCAGTGCGTCAGGCATCCGACGTGGTGGGCGAACGCGTCCAGGGAATGCTAGCGATGAGTGCACCCCGGCAGGCTTTCTAGAGCGCGGAGAGCCAAGAGCCACACACGTGCGGCGGCGGGAAAGAAATTGACGGCGAGTCCAGGCAATGGACCTTCAAACCTTGGTCTACGCGAGCCGGTTTCAGGGTCATTGGTTCTCGCTTTTCCACAACGCAACCGTAGGAGAAGAGATTCGCCACTCCAGAACCTGCTGCGCGCCCCGGCAAAAAGAAGGAATCGGCGTGGAGAGGCGGGGTGGGGTGGGGTGGGGCGGGGTGGGGGGAGGCGGGGCGGGGCGGGCCCTGCACAGGCCGGCAACCTGTTCCCAGTGGAATGTGCCACCAGCAGCGTCACAGCCGAAACCAGAACCGGCCTAAGGTCGCTCATTCATTACACGAGACGGAAAAGAGAGCAAGACCACACCGTCGGAGCCACGAGCACTAATCACAATCGCAAATCCAGCGCGCAGCGCGCAGCCCTTCAAATCCGACGGAGGCTCGGGCCCGGCCGGCCGGCAAGCCAGTGTAGCAGAGAGGCGTCAAGTGCACTGGCGTGCACACGAGGGTGGCGGGAGGAGGGGGCTCATCATCCTTTCTGTGCTATTTTCAGTCACACCCTTGAAAGTTAGGCCCAAAGTGGGCATTCGTCCACGAAACCTCTCATTATCAGTGCCGCCGACAAGGAGAGCACCTCAATTACACACCGGGGTCGCCACCACCTCATCCGAGGGCTTGTTCAGGTCCGCGCCCCTGTCCCGGAAACACGCGCCGGGCCACGCGCTCGCCGCTCGGCTCCACGGCTTTCGGAAAGGTCCGCGGTTCGGTTCCCAGTCATCGGTTTAGCATCGTCGTTACCCTTGCAGATTACCGGGGCGCGCACGGCGGCCGGGTCACGGGGTTGCGGACGCCTTGTGCAGTGACACTACACTGCATAATGCACGAATGCAGCCGATGCATGGCGCCGCACGCGCCAAGGGCAGCGAGGACACGCCGCTACCCGTGTCGGGCAGGGGCGGCTGCACAGTCGGTTTTGGGAGGGGGCGCGTCACACCTCTCTCTCTCTCACGGCAGAAGATCATGTGTGGTCTAGCCTCTCAAGTTCAAGTTCAACCTCTTAGGCGCAGTGTCACACCTCCGGGGCGGTGCCAGACCTGACCCCCGAGGTGCACTCGGGCTGATCAATGCGCCGAACTCCGCACACGGTTATCCAACCTCGGGCTTAGTGCGCCTAGTGCCCGAAGACGTCAGCCTGCGTCAGCCGCACTCATGCATATGTGGGCCCGAGGGGGCCACCACCCCCGTAATCCTGTGTACAAATTGGCTGGTAATCTACGGTAATCGATGCCGTAATCACGTAATCCTTGACAAAATTCTGACATTTTTCAACTTTTTTGAGTCATTTTTCAACTTTCTTGAGCCATTTTTCGACAATTTTGAACCAACTGTCCAAAATTTCACGCGTAATCCCTAGTTAATTTTTCCCATAATCTTGTGCACGCCTGAAATGAGAGTGGTGGCCCCTGGGACACGTCTGCGGGGCATGCGGCGCAGGACATCAAAACATCACACAAAACGCAAAACATCAAAAACATTGGATCTTCTCCATAGCGGCGAAATGCCTGAAGTGTCACCATTAAACTTTTAGAGTGTAGATGCGCTGCCGGCTCAGCCAATTCAACTCATTAGGGGCAGCAGGCACCGCGAGAGCGAGAGACAGGGAAGGGGAGAATTCGGCAGGCAGTTACGTGGTGGTAGTAATTGGATCCCAAGTAACACGCCGGGTGCAGCTCGGACCGGCTCAGACACTACTGGTACACTAGTAGCGCGCGCTCTCTCTTCGCGTGCTCATTGCACGTACGCGCCAATCCAGCCGACATTTTCGCCACACCTACGGCGGCGCCGCGGTGCACACCAAGCTCGAACCGAGCTTTCGTCGCGCCGTCTCTCTCGCACCTCCACGGGGCGGCCCATGGGTGCGAGAGAGAGGGACAGAGCAGTGTGCAGGTCGGAATCAAACGGCAGGGAAGCCCAAACTGGAATGGATTCAAGACATGCTCGGGGATGGGGGCAGGGCAGGGGAAACGCCGCGCAGAGCCGACCAGAAGGTAGGCAAGCAGTAGCACTTCAACACTGCAAGTAGATAACTTTTGATTCCCCCCCCCCAACCTCCCCGCCGACGCCGCCAGTGTAATGTGCAGGCCAGCGCAAGGGTCTCAGACACGCGGCCCGGCAGGCAGACTTTACTCCGTGGGACATGAGAGATATACTCCGTGGCGCCCCAGGCACTGTAAGCCCATACGGCGGGATGTAAGTACTCTACGCCGGCGGCGCCTCAGTCATCGGCCAACGCATCACCTTTTATGATGCAGTGGATTAGGCCACCATATCGACGAAACTCGAGTGCAACGACGCGGTGACGCGAGTGGGCGCCCGGCCCCGCCCCGCCGAGAGGCCAGGTCGGCGTCCGGACCTTCCCGATGATTGGCCCCTTCTTACGTAACGCCCTCGGCGTGGAGGGCGCGGAATTCCCCTCGAACGAACGAACGGAAGACGCGCGTCGCGGAGCCTCTCAGGTTACCAGACGACTTTGAAAATAGCTTGGGGCCACGAATGGTGCTCTCCTCTTCGGGTCCACGCACGAATCCGCCCGTCCCGTGCGGTGCAGAACACTCCGCGAGAGCGAGAGAGTGACCGAGTGCGGGCGGCAGAATCGGTCCACTGTCGGGCGTCTGGCCTGCGGAACCAGCGCGCGAGCCGGGCCGACTGTACCACACCGCACTATTAAGCAAATGGCTTTGACGGGCCGGCCGGCCGGGCAGCACTCCGTCCTCGCACTTGGACCGCGCACCGGCACACCGCGCAGTGACTCACCCCGCGGCGAAAGTGAGTCGAGTCGTATCGCAACACGCGCCGCCGCGCCACATCGCCGCAACCAGGACCCTTCGTCCCCGTCGTCCGCAAAACGCGCAGCCACACGCAAATCCGAGCCCAGCGCGGGGCTCGACGCGGGGCTTGACGCGGGGCTTCCCGCGGGCCGCGGCGCGTCAACAAGAAACCGCACTCGATTGCGATGGCGCGGATGGCGCGGATGGCGCGGATGGCGCGCGCACACCGCAGCCACGCTGTCTATAGCGATGTAGCGATTGCCTGCGAATAGCCGCGCCGTTAATTGGCGGGCTGCGCGGTGCGTCTCCCTCGCACTCGCGGGGCGTCCCGTGGAGGTGCGAGAGAGACGGATCGACCTCGTAATCCGCAGTGTCAGCATGCTGACGTGACGGCGCGTAAACCCGACCACACCCGCATGCATCCATCCACCTCGGCGCCAAACGCCGCCAAACGCCCCACGGCCACGCCGTCGGGCCGTCCGGTCGGCCGGCCGCAGACTCGCCACCGCCTTTCCGGTTCGTCTTCGTGTCACCGCGACACTGACAGTCACTGGGCCGTTTCCACCGCGTAGCGCCACGCGCCGAGCCACGCGCCGAGCGGGCAGCGACGCGGATAGAAGTGCATACAACTTTGTCGACAAGTCGAAAAGACCACCGAGACGTCGCTCGTTGCAGTGGGGGGAAGCCAAAGGCCTTCAAGAACTAATTGTTTGTCGCCACTGTTGTACACACACACACGTACACACAGACACTCGCACACGGGGGTCCGCCTCTGCCCCGCAGCCTTGGCCGCGAATCCCATGGCCCGGGCCGGCGACGGCGGCGAGCTTCGGGAATCGTTTAGGGACTGGGCTCTGGTCTGGTCTGCGCGTGCCGCCACGGTGCCGACACGGTGCCGACACGGTGCCCGACACGCGGCCGACGGCAGACGGTGTGCTCCGAATTCGCCCGCCGGCCCGCCGCACTGTATATGGATGCACGTACGATTCCGCGAGGCCGACCCGGACAAATTTATGCAAAGTTACTCGCACAAGTTTGTTGACGAATAAAAAGGGAATAAATTGGCGTGCACCGAAGTGAGCGCGACTTCCACCCTACACTGTACACACACGGCCCAACAGGGCAACGCGCTGGAGACAGGTGTGCTTCTCGGACCAATCACGTCGATACACTCCCCCGGCATAGACAGCAGCATAATGATTGCAGAGGCAAAAAAAGGGGGGGGGGTAAGAGGGGAACCGGGAGCCGACGGCCAGTTCGCGAGGAAAAACAAGCCATCCCGGGAATCCGGGAATCTTTCGTGAACCAGGATATATGTTTCGATTCGACCGCTCATTGACTGTAACAAAACAATCAACAGAAAAAGAAGTAAAATCTGAATGGAGTCATTACCTCCAGCTTTATCATCAGTGTCGCGGTGCTAAAGAGCTGTCTATACAGTCGCCTCCATGCCAATGCTTCAGCAGCCCATTAAACGTCTGCCGAATCACTTAGCACAACAGCCTAGGTGGCAACAAGTTTTTTTTTCTTTTTTTTTTCTTTCTCGTTTTCCACGGGAAGCGTGCCACTTGTAGCACACGTTCATACCAGGTTGGCAAATCGAGCACGCAGTAAAATTACCACCCAAAATAAAACCTACACAAGGAACATTTAGAGAAACCACGAGAAAAACGAGAGAAATAAAGACAAAGCGTCAGATAGCCCCGCGTGGTTTCCGCGATGTGGCTTCGAAAGGAAGTGGTGTCCTTATCGACGCAATAATCAACGTGCTATCACGCACCTATACGACCAAAAAAGCGCGTCGTCGCCGCTAACCAGAGGGAAATCCCCCCCCCCTCCCCCTCAGTCTCCTTGCGGTCTGGGTGGGTCGTCTGCCGGAGCGCCCGCGCACCGTGCGGTTCACGGAATGACTGACTGACAAGTTTCTAACAGAGCCGTGATCTAACCATCAATTTCGTCTTATCAATTATTGCCGAATGAATCCATTTCCGTAATGATCCTTCCAATTCCGACTCTTTACCTTGTACAGTTGATTGAAATCGATCACCGAAACTCGCGGGCCGATTACGGCTGAAGTGCCGCGGGCAGCCACGGGGGGCAGGCGCGGTTCTAGGAGAAAAGTAATGGGGGGTAATAGCCCCTCCCGCACGGTAAAAATGGCTCCTGGTTTTCCCAGGAACCCCCTGGAAATCGCCTACGTCTTTCCTATAGACTACCTGGGAAAACCAGGAAGCGTTTTCGCCGTGCGTGCAAGATAAGCATCCCGGAAGGTAGGCGACAAGTACAACTTTTAAGGAGGCAAAAAAGCGCTGATTTACCCCCTCCTCAGGGAAACCCTGGAGCCGCGCCTGCCGGGCTGCGGGCGGCGACGTGCGCGTCGTGCGCGACGCCGTGGTGGCGGTGATCGCGGTGGTCGCCGTGGTGCGGACTCGGCCGCCAGGACGGCGTCATTGTCACGACCATTCCGGCGCGACGGTCGATTGTCGATTCCGAAAGGAAACCGAGACGGCCCCTTGGCGCGCTTTCCAACAACTCACCGCTCTTGTTGTCCATGAGGTCCCGGTAGTAGTGCACGATGTTGCTGGCGAACTGCGCCATGGTGCTGGCGGGGGTTGGAGACCTGCGACACAAACAAGTCCAAGTCAGCGACCGGATCCACTTTTTGGCGCCAGTCCGAACGTCGGGCGCGGATGTTCGGAGCGACGGAGAGTCCTCGAGTAGATCTGTCCCAGATCCGAGGACTCTGGAAGCAGGGGTCTTGGCAGCGAACCAAACACTAGGCACGGCACGGGGGAATTTCCACGGATGGGTGAACGCTTCGCGACACGAATTACTCCAGATTTCCACAGGCACTGGCTGCAGCGAGTCAGGAATCTTCGGGGCTGGCGGCGGAGCAGACGAACCAGCCCGAGAGCCTCCACCGCAAGGCCCACCAGGAGGCCAAGCAAGCCGACAGCCCGTTCACTGCCGATGGGCGCCGCCGCGCCGCCAGCCAAAGTCCTGAAGCGAGGGAACGCGCGGGCCGACGAAGTCCAAGTCGTGTACCTCGTGGGGTAGAGTGCCGGGGCCTGGTGCGCGGGGCGGGGACGACCTGTCCGCCGGATGGACACAGACTAACTGCCTCGCACCGCCGCGCCGACGGGCCGACAGGCCGACCCGCGACACCGAGACGGCCCGCGGCCACCGCGGGCCCGCGCCGGGCGGGGGGCGGCGGGTGGGGGCCGCGGGGCACGAGCCGGGCCGAGCTGCGGCGGGGCGGGGCGGGGCGGGGCGGGGCGGGGCGGCCAATGGACGGACGGGCTCCGCGGCTCCGCGCCTCGCGGTCCACAAGATCAAGGGCGGCACCGGCGTGTGCTTGTGCTTCGCGGCCCCGCAGTCCAGTCCGGCAGCCAGGGCGGCGCGGCGGCACGGCGGCGCGGCGGCGCGGCCAAGGTCGGCGAAAGCCGACTGGGAAGCAGCGCAGCAACGCAGCGAGCGACAACACCGTCGGGGGTCGTCTTGCATTTTTACGTAACGCCGCGCGGTGCACGGGAGGCGGCACCGCGGCACCGCCACACTGACATTTGTGACGGCCAGGAACAAATGTGCCACTTACGAGAGCTTGGCTGTCTCTCTCGCACTCGCGGTGGCCAGCATTGGCCGTCCCCGCCTTCGGTACCTATAAACTCCCAACTATACGACCGAGTGGGTCCGCCTCCATCGACTCGCCGCGGAGAGAACCGAGACGCACGTCAGCAGGAAGAACCAGCTTGACATGCATTCGAACAGTTTTTTCACACGGGCCGTAGAAGTAGATCATACACTCGAAAACACAGCCAGTCGCCAAGTATGACGGGGCTTGACGCACTCTGGAGCGCCCCTCCCCACCCCCGTGCGCCACGAACGCAGCCGAGGCCGGCGGCCAAAATAAACACTAAAATCGGGGCGCCGGATAAGGCCGGTGTCGAAACGGACGGACGGACGGAGACACACCTGAACCTGAAGAGGAGTCGTGACGCAACGAGGCGGCCGGGCCGGGCCGTGATGGCAAGGGAAGGGAAGGGAAGGGTGAAAGCAGGCCGCGCCACTGGTGGAGAGGCTCGACGCCCAGAGGCAGCCCAGAGGCAGCCCAGAGGCAGCCCAGAGGCAGCCCAGAGGCAGCCCAGAGGCAGCCCAGAGGCAGCCCAGAGGCAGCCCAGAGGCAGCCCAGAGGCAGCCCAGAGGCAGCCCAGAGGCAGCCCAGAGGCAGCCCAGAGGCAGCCCAGAGGCAGCCCAGAGGCAGCCCAGAGGCAGCCCAGAGGCAGCCCAGAGGCAGCCCAGAGGCAGCCCAGAGGCAGCCCAGAGGCAGCCCAGAGGCAGCCCAGAGGCAGCCCAGAGGCAGCCCAGAGGCAGCCCAGAGGCAGCCCAGAGGCAGCCCAGAGGCAGCCCAGAGGCAGCCCAGAGGCAGCCCAGAGGCAGCCCAGAGGCAGCCCAGAGGCAGCCCAGAGGGGCAGCCCAGAGGCAGCCCAGAGGCAGCCCAGAGGCAGCCCAGAGGCAGCCCAGAGGCAGCCCAGAGGCAGCCCAGAGGCAGCCCAGAGGCAGCCCAGAGGCAGCCCAGAGGCAGCCCAGAGGCAGCCCAGAGGCAGCCCAGAGGCAGCCCAGAGGCAGCCCAGAGGCAGCCCAGAGGCAGCCCAGAGGCAGCCCAGAGGCAGCCCAGAGGCAGCCCAGAGGCAGCCCAGAGGCAGCCCAGAGGCAGCCCAGAGGCAGCCCAGAGGCAGCCCAGAGGCAGCCCAGAGGCAGCCCAGAGGCAGCCCAGAGGCAGCCCAGAGGCAGCCCAGAGGCAGCCCAGAGGCAGCCCAGAGGCAGCCCAGAGGCAGCCCAGAGGCAGCCCAGAGGCAGCCCAGAGGCAGCCCAGAGGCAGCCCAGAGGCAGCCCAGAGGCAGCCCAGAGGCAGCCCAGAGGCAGCCCAGAGGCAGCCCAGAGGCAGCCCAGAGGCAGCCCAGAGGCAGCCCAAAGGCAGCCCAAAGGCAGCCCAGAGGCAGCCCAGAGGCAGCCCAGAGGCAGCCCAAAGGCAGCCCAAAGGCAGCCCAAAGGCAGCCCAAAGGCAGCCCAAAGGCAGCCCAAAGGCAGCCCAAAGGCAGCCCAAAGGCAGCCCAAAGGCAGCCCAAAGGCAGCCCAAAGGCAGCCCAAAGGAAGGCCGGCGTCTTTTGGCGGGCACACGCCCCACGCCTCGCCGCCGCGAAGCCCCCCTCGATTACTCCGGACATCGACTTCACATGCACATTATACTCGTACATTACATTACCATTGAAAATCCCAGGAAAACAGTCACCCAAAGCCGTGGTACTAGCCAGGGGAAGGCCTTCGGCCTCGATGCTGAGCTGGATTCTGCTGGAGATGGAAATGCATTTTCATCAGTAGTAAATTTGGATGTGTTTATTTTGAAAACGAGCCTCTTTTCTTTTCGGGGGGGGGGGGGTGATAGCCAGGAAGTATGCTTTTGCGCGAAGGATTGTGATTCCGCAATGGTTGGTTTCTCCTTGAATCGACGGAAGGCTATTTAATAATCTAAAACTAAATGTTCAGACCAATCCTAACCTAACCTAACGGGCTCGTGACAGATCTTACTCTACCCGTGACAGATCTTACTCTACTCTCGACAGACCTTATTCTCAAACTAAATGGTCCAACCAATCCTAACCTAACCTAACGGGCTCGTGACAGACCTTTCTCTACTCGTGACAGATCTTTCCCTACTCTCGACCGATCTTATTCTCAAACTAAATGTTCCAACCAATCCTAACCTAACCTAACGGGCACGTGACAGATCTTACTCTACTCGTGACAGATCTTACCCTACTCTCGACAGATCTTATTCTCAAACTAAATGGTCCAACCAATCCTAACCTAACCTAACGGGCTCGTGACAGATCTTTCTCTACTCGTGACAGATCTTTCCCTACTCTCGACCGATCTTATTCTCAAACTAAATGTTCCAACCAATCCTAACCTAACCTAACGGGCACGTCACAGATCTTACTCTACTCGAAACAGATCTTACCCTACTCTCGACAGATCTTATTCTCAAACTAAATGGCAGCTTGGCGTACGACTATGGAGCTTGGACTATTGAGCTTGGACTATTGAGCTTGGACTATTGAGCTTGGACTATTGAGCTTGGACTATTGAGCTTGGACTATTGAGCTTGGACTATAGAATATGGACTATGGAGCTTAGACTATGGAGCTTGGACTATGGAGCTTGGACTATAGAGCTTGGACTATAGAGCTTGGACTATAGAGCTTGGACTATAGAGCTTGGACTATGGAGCTTCGACTATGTATACGCATATGAATATAGTAAAAATAAACAGAGGAAGATACCTCTTGTAAACTAAAGGTATCGGGGGGGGGTCGGACAAATGAGCTATTCAAAATCCCAAACAGGGTGCTTCGCTTCGCTCAGCAAAAAGCACAGGAAAAGTAATCATGTGCTACGTGTGTTATCATGAATGTAGTCCTGTGTTCCTTCCCACATGCCGGCTCAGAGTTGACGACCCCTCGCGGCCCTCGCTGACCCCCGGCCCCGGCTTCCGAGAGGAAGACCCACTCGGGTCCGCCGCTTCCTCCTTGCAACCAGTCTTGTTTCGGCCCGCGCTCGCTCGCAAATAACAATTAAACCCAAGCAAAAAAAAAAAAAAAAAAAAACAAGCGAAAAAAGAAGGAGCGCCGGCATGTTTTTCTGGTTTTGTTCTAGCCAGGCGCCGCGGCACCACACCGGAGCGCGGCGAGCAGCGCAAGCAGCGCGGCCGTGAGCGGCGCCGCCAACTTTTTATTTCCAGGAAGGGGGATTTTGCCGTCGGGGGCGGCGGGGGCGGCGGCACCCCCTCCAGCGCCGCCACGTCGTCCACATCGATCGCTGGGCGCCCCGCCGCGGGTTCGTGACACGCCGAGACGGAAGCCAGCCACATTGTGGACAGAAACGGCCAAATTAGCGGCAGCCCACTTTCATCCGTTCCGATTTAATCCGGCCTCATCGCCGACAGGAGTACGCCGCGGCACTCGGCGCCCCGGCTGTCTGTCTGTCCGGCTGTCTGCCCGCCCGCTGCACTTGGAGTGGAAGCCCGCCCGCCCCGCGACCTACCTCAACGGGTAGGCGCAGGTGTGAGTACACTGGAGAGCCCGCCGCTGGGCCTGGGCCCCGCGTCTCGACGGCCTACTTGTAGTTTGGCCCACCACCGGGCCGGGCCGTGGCGAGCCGTGACCACATGAAAGCACACGGCCCGGGCGATGCAAGTTGAAATGACGCGGTAGATGCTGCACTATAGGCTGCACTAGGCTAGGGCCGGGCCGGGCCGAGGTCGAGCAAGCGCTAAACCAGTGTCGCGCCGCGTGCACCGAGGTCGAGACCGAGGCCAGCCGCCACTGCGCCTCGCACCGAGACGCCCTGCCGTGCCCCGCCGTCAACAGTGGCTGCATGTTCTTATTGGCCTAAGCTTTTCGGCCCCGACCGTACCGCACGGCACCGCACCCCGATCCGGTCCACCGCGGCAGCCCGCCCACCAACGCGTCCAATATCCGCTCGTCCTCGTCCCCCCGAACCGCCCGGCCCCTCGCCCGGCCCCTCGCCCGGCCCGGACCGCAGCCCGCGGCACCAGCCGGC